ACGTTTGATCCCATTTGGTCTGGTCCCATACATTTCTTGGCGTGAATCCCGCTGGGACTGGCTATCAAAAAAACATGTAAAGTGACTATATATCAGATCTTAAAATGAAACCATGACTTGAAAAAAATGAGAAAGTGGTTCCATTTGATCCCATTTAGTCCCATTCTTGGCATAAAGTTACTATTTTTAGACATTTTAAGGTTTTTTTTAGACTATTTTTAATTTTTTAAAAAGTAACGCTTTTTGATAACACTCAAATGAGATTTAAAGTCATTTAAAGCAATAAAAATAATTTAAATTGAGAAGTGGAAATCATGGTCTCATTTGGAAAATGTGACAAGAGTAGACAGTAAGTCTCACTGAGACAGTATGAGACCACTATCTAATGTTAAAACCGTGTAATGAGATCAGTTGAATTGGTAATGAAACTATCAAAAAATCTGGTCCTGGTCTCAGACACGGTCACATGGTCAGTCTACTCTTCAGCATGTCTGTAAGAGCTAAGAAGATTCTCATGAATGCAAAGATAAATCATCTATAGAAATTCACAAAGCTCAGAAAGATCTGAATCTCATGAATACTAGTTGACTCTGATTATAATAGAATAGTCTCAATCTGTGAAGATTTCATCTGAATATTATTCACAGTGATTACATATTCTAGGAAATTAATTCAGTGAGTACTGAAGTTGCACTTTACAAGCTTAACATACAGTTCTGTCTCATCTAAGGCCTTCAACACACTTTACACATGCTCAGTGTGTTCTTTCTTCTTCATGAAGTATATTATCACATCATTCAGATATATTATTACAAAGACATTCAGATATGCATGAAGTGTTTTATTAATGAAAGACTGAAATGCTGCAGAGATATTAGTCAGATTAAAAGACATCACTAGATATTTAAACAATCTCAGTGCAGTTCTAAAGACAGTCTTTCATTCATTCTCAGACTGTATTTGCAGCTGTGTATATGCATTGATCACATTCAGTTGTGTGAATATAATAGCTCTTATAAGACAGTTAATCACATTCTCAATCAGAGACAGGAAATAGCAGCTCTTTATTATCTTAAAGTTCAGGTCACAGTAGTCTACACACAATCTGAGACCTTCATTCTTCTTCTTCATAAACATCACAGAGGCTTTCACAGAGATCTGTGAAGATCAGATGAAGTCATTCTTCAGATTCTTCTTTATATAGATTTACAAGACCTCTGTCTCATAATGAGAGAGCTTATAGATTGATTCTCAGAAGAGTTTCTGCTCTTCTATCAAATCTATTATCAGATTCTTCTTACAGTGAGAAGAAAGCTCAGCTGCCTTAGCTGAACTGAACATCTCTGTGAGATCTTGGTATTTCTCTGATATCTGAAGCTCAGTTTCCATGATCATAAGATTCTTAGACACTTATAAAGTCATTATATAGATGAGCTTGTCTTCTCTAATCAACTCTGCAGTATTAACTGCTTCTATCTTTATAAGTGAGTCTGTCAACACTGATCAGAAGTATAAACCTGACTCACAGACAGCTATGTATGAATTGTGTCTTTGAAGTCATGCAAGTTTCAAATACATGTTATCTATGATATTCATAATAATCACAGTTTCTGCAAATCTTCTTCAGATTTCAGAGAGATCTTGCAATTCAAAGATGACTCTTATGAGTTTCTCAGTTCTCAGATCTAAGTTCTCATACCCTGCTTGTTGTAAGAGCAGATTCTCAGTCTTCATCTTTCAGCTCATTCACTCTGCAAGCTTTAGAGACATCACAGTGATCTGGAATCCTGAGTTTATCAATACTTCTCATGCTTACAGAGCAGCAGCACTGCAGTGTAATCTCTTTCTACAAGCAAGCATTTTTATTGAGAAAGTAACAGATTCAGATGTCAGCTTCAAGATTCTTAAGAAGACTGTTACTAACTCTGTCTATAACTTCTCAAATTTCTATTTTAATTTATTTAAACAGTTTGTGCAAAGATATTCTGATTTAGAATAGATGAAGTAGAGTCTCTTTTTCTTAATCTCTCTATTATACACTCTGTTTATAAAAGCTTATGAAGCTCTCTCTCTCTACTCAGTAATCAGATATGAATCTCTCTATATCTTATTATCTTTTTCTGACAAATCTGTTCTCTGTTATTCTGACTCTCACAGAGCTGATTGATAATTTACTCTTTACAGATCTGTGACTCTTACAGTGATCTGTAAGTGATGAATAAGAGTTATCAGTTTCTTCAGAGTCAAGAACTTAGAGTCTTGCTCAATGAACTTGTTCTGTATATTTTTATTCAGTCTCTTTATAAATATCATTATTCAGGTCTTGTTTCAGAGCTCTGTTTTCACAGATCTTAATTCATATCATAATTTCATGAAGCACTGTAAGTAGTCTTTATCAGATTTCTTATCTCTTTTTCTAATATTAATGATTACAGCTCAGGTGTTCTCTATTCAGCTTGTAGAGTTTCTCAACTTATTCTCTAAATAGATCTTAAGAACAGATTATCAGAATCTCTTATAATTATTCTCTAAATAATTCAGTCAGTTCTTAACTTCAGTGTAATAGAGATCTGTTATTGTATAGATGACAGCTTCTTCATCTTTTATATCACACAGCTGAGCTTGTGAGTTAATTTCAAATACAAACTTATAAAAGCTTTTATAGATTGTGATTTGATAGATAATCTTAAGTGATTATAGCTTGAGAAAGTTTCTTTTCAGTTTATAAGTATCTCTGAAGATCATGTCTAGAGACTCAGTTCAAGAGTGTTTATAGACAGTAAGTATTTCTTATAGAAAAATAGCTTGATTCTGTGAGAGATGCTCAAGAATATTCTTCACTAAGATTAATTTATTCATGAGTTTGAAGAGTTTCTCTGTCACAGATGTAGAGAATAATGTTCTATAAGTAATTGATAAGTTCTCTGAGACTTCTTTTATAGAAGTTATTCATAATTCAGATGACTGCTTCTAAGTATCTGTAGTAGAGTTTGCAGAGATTGAAGTACATAAGTTTCTAGTTCTTTCAGTCATAATAAGTGATTGCTGACTGACTGAGCTTGAAATGTAAGAATAAGTACTCACAGACAATTATTCAGGTGTTTACAGCTTGATGTGATAGATACTGTTAACTACTAGAAGTGTTTATAATAGGAAGATAAATGTAGAGATCAAATGTATAATAGTATTCAAGCTGAGTTGTGAATAGTATTCACAAACTCCAGTCTATATAGTTGTGTGTAGCCAAGAGCCGCTAGCTCTATTGATTACATGAGAGATAGAAATAGAAGTAAAGAATCCGCGAGGAGCGGGATTTCTTACAAGAATCTACATCAGTCAATCAAGTATTTAAGTATGAAGATCAATTATTCAGACAAGAGAATTGATTTAATATATTATCAATATATCAAATATCTTGTTAAAGATTTCTATCTTGATAATACAGCTGTTATCAGAATATTAATGAAGAATGAATTTCACATTGATGATTTCTCTATATCTGAGAAAGAGACTGGTTTCACAATTCAGTAATATTAATATGATGTAAGTTACTTGCAATATCTTGCAGTTAAAACACATTCTGATATCACTTGTACTGCCTTGCTACTCACTCAACAGAACATTGATTTAACATCTTAATATTGAAAGACTCTATTACATATTATACATTATTTGAAAGAAATCACAGATCTGAGTATTTTCTACAGACACAGTCTGTATAAGGAATTTATTCCTTTCATTTCTTCTATTTCTATCATTTCTACTGTTTCTATTAATTCCTCTGTTATTCCTGATTTCCCTGATGATTTCTATCTACTCTTCAGCTACTCAGATTCTGATTGAGTCAGTCTCTTAAATAGTGATAGAAAATCAACATTCAGCTACATTTTTAAGCTTACAGATGACCTGATTTCATGACATTTAATGAAGTAATCTTGTATATCTCTAAGTTTCAATAAGACTGAATATATGACTCTTAGTAAGACAGTTTACAAGATAACATGAATCTGAAATCTTATAATTGAGCTTGACTTCATCACTACATCTCTGATACAGATTCTCACTGATAATAAGAGTGTTATAGATCTCATAAAGATGACAGTCATTACAGTCTGAAGTAAGTATATTAATATATGTTTTCATTTTTCACATTGACAGTTGAATCAGAGAGTTATTGATTTAGAATACATTCTCACTGCTCAGATGATAATAAATGAACTTACTAAATCTCTAAACAATGTGATATTTGCATGATTCATGGTTTTGCTAGATCTTACAGGTGTAAAAGTTGGGAATGTTTAATTTTACATTTGTATTTGGTTTTGACAGACTATCTTGGTGGTTTGGGTGTTTTTGTATGTGATTCTTGTTATCTCGAGGGGGGGTGTTGGCCCTTACAGCTGTTGCGGTTAGCGATCCCACTAGATCACGTGACCCACCACTATATTATGTTCCTGTAGATAGATCTATCAATACAACCTTCAACTATCCTACATTAGCGAGGTCAAGTTTTCTGTATACACGTCGAAGAAGCCGTAACAATCACTACGCAATAATATATCTGCATATTGCTGGTTAAATATTCATTCACATGTAATGAATACTCGGTATACTTAAACTATCATGTTTTTCCTTTCCATTTTGGTAATTCCTCAATGGATAGGTTGTTAATTGTAACCAGTTGTGAACATAAAGTTGTGTACGGAGGACATATTTACTACAGTTGTCTACCCCAGGGCTGCTTGATGAAATATTTAGCAAAACGAGGGGCTGCACCGGTCATCAATTTTCATATATGTCAATGTGTACTTCGTACTATACAACGGAACTGAGTTCTCACAATTCCTCTACGCAAATCATAGCATCGTGGCACTCTCAGGCTTATTCACCAGGACATACCTGTATCTTGCTTTCCCGGTGTGCATGTTAGCGACTGCATTGTTAACATCCTCCATCTGACGTTCTTTAATCCATGGGATATCATTTTTGTCGGCTGCTAACTAGAGCATCTGGCGGATCTCTTCTGGAGAGCCTATTGTCGAGCCTCCAATTTTGACTCCCTTGCTTATAAGCGGAAATACCCTGAAGGCTGGGAATGGCTCTTCTGGAGCACCGACTTGAATGAACTGCCCATTTACCTTCATGAGCCGCAGATAGTTTCCAATAGGCATATCCGAGGATGAAACAGTGCTGATAATTAGGTCCAATGATCGAGCATGTGTCTTCGCCCAACCTTTATCCTCATCCGTCGCGATAAACTTGGTCGCTCCTAGACCACCTAACGTTTCAGCTTTTTTCGCGCTCGTCCGCGAAATAGCAGTAATATGATCGCAACCTAGCGCTTTCGCGAACAAAAGGCCCAAGTGTCCCAGCCCTCTAATCCCAATAATGCCAATGGATTTACCCGGCCCAGCGCCATTTTTCACCAAGGGCGAAAACACCGTTATTCCGGCGCATAAGAGGGGTGCAGCAGCGGCACTGGGCAAGCTATCGGGTAATTTAAATGTAAACCATGCCGGTCCTCGCCAACGGCTTCGCATACCCACCATATGACTTACTCCCATCACGAAATCGACCTCCATATGTTCCCGTTTGGTATTGACAGTGGTTCTCTAATCCGGAAGAGCACTCTGGGCACTCTGGTCGGTGGCACGAGTCCGATTGTGCCCCGATGCCCACTCGATCTCCAACTTTCAAATGCCGAGATGGAGAGGAGAGGGTAGCTACTCCAGATCCTACGCGAGTAACATGTCCGACGATTTCGTGCCCGACGACATAGGGGTAATCTGTAGGTCCCTAGCTAGAGCGGAGAGTGTGGATGTCTGAGCCACTGATGCCACAGTGGGTGATCTTTATTTCAATGTCTGTCGGGTCGAAGGGTTTTGGTCGGTAGGTCGTGTGGATTAACGGCGAGGTTGCCGAATGGCCGACCCATCCATAGAATGTTGAGTCTGTCATCGTTATCCACCAACAGTGCTGGATGTTAGAATGGGCTGCGGAACCTTTTTTTAGGCTTTTCTTCTCAAGTTCGTTAACACACTTGTTCGCTCAGGAGCGAGGAAAGTGAGTTTGAACAGTGGGAATTGAAGCCAAAGGCTGCTGAAATAATTGAGCATTACTGTCACTTGTAAAAACACAAGAGACGGCCTCAGCATTTATATCTGTTAAGATCCAAGGATGTAGCCCCATTTGAGCCGAGGGTCTAGTTAGATGCAACCGAGGCAGAGAATCTATGTGGAGAAACTCATGGGTTGAGGATGCTATGGACAGAACAGCAAGTGGGATAGAACATCTGCGTTGCGTTTGATATTAGCAGAGAGGTAAACTGAAAAACAAAAAAGCGAAACCTAGCTTGTTCTACATTGATCTGACGATGAGCAACACTGCTCGCCTTCGGTTCTGGAGGGAAGCACCCAGTGATGTTGATAACCGGGGCGCTCATGCTATAGTAACATGTTTTAAACCGCGTTTCCTCAAGCGAGGGTCAGCCCAGCATTATTTGTGAGCCCCATGCTTAATTCAACAGCACAACCTTGATAGGGCTTCATGTAGAACAGAATGGTTGAGATTCACACCAACTCGCGCGCGAAAATCGCATACGGATCTCGGATAGTAATGAAGTTGAAAATCTTCAATATATTATTCAATATTTGTGATTGCCAATAGATAGAGTACAAAACCAAACTCCGACTTTCCTGATGTGTTGGATAGAAATATCGTAGACGTGCGACTTCTCCCTGATTCATCTCAGAGGACTGAAAATAAGTAGAAATTACTGAATCCGCCACATATGTTTTCCATCTGTCCTTCACAAGCATGGAAACATTGTAAATATTATTGACCCAGGGCTCGATGATGTCCATCACGATGATGTGGAATATGTAAACTCCAAAACCTTCCCTTTATGCACAAAACAAGAAAATGATTGCTTTGAAACTGAAAGAAGATAATTCGGGGTCTCAATAGAGTCGTCGACTGAAATGTTTGGCTGCCAATTTAGGTGCCAGCATGGAGTAAATCTTGCAACTCCTGCGGCGTCAATGTACTTTTTCGTCGCCTTGGCTTCGTATTGGAGCGTGTCGACGAATTACTTCTCTTTCTTCTTTCATTCTTCTTGCGTTCTCCTTCTGCTTCCTTTGCTTCTGACTCAACATTGGCAAGTTTTTCAGTGGTCGACAGCTTTGATCTTGTCGGTATTTTGTGCTGGCTTCAAGTCAGCTTCTTCAATCTCCAGCTTCAATCTTATCTGATCTCTACTAACCTTCGGAATTTTTGATTCAGCAACCCTCGGGGTTTTCTTCTGTGGTTGTTGCGCCGTTTTCGGTTTAGCCGACAAAGCAAGCTCATCATCGCTATATTCGGAGTCCTCCTTCCAACTTCGCCTAGAACGCCGGGAGGGTACATCTCGGAATGCATTTCCCGTTCCTTCGCCAAGAACACGTTGTTTCACAGCCTTAGCTGGACTCGTTATGCGAATTTCGGGCGGGTTTGTATTTTCTTTGGCATCATAGTAGTCTCTCTCCCCTTCCCCAGTATCGTTTTCATCATATATTGACGGGCCGAAGTTTCCTGCTTTGGGCACGGATCTAGCACGTTCGGGTTTCTCAAGTCCTAGCCCAAGTCCCATTCCTTGCGTAAGTTCATCAATATTAACCGACAGTCCTCCCTGAGCCATTCGTTTGTGCCATGAATCCATCATTGAAACAGCCTCCTTCCATCGTTCTTCCATCTTTTCCCAGCCATCTCTCAACCTATATATTTCATTGTCTCGTACTTCAACCTCCTCTAAAGGCACAAACGAGGGATTGGTGAGCAACGACCTAAGTTGCTCAAGTACCGAATCCATTTCAGCGGAGAGTTTTTCGTATTGTGGAGTCAGCTCTGAAGCTGATGTCTCCAAGCGGCTACTTTCATAGGCATTGGAGCCAAGAATATCTTGTTCCTGGGTGTCCTTTTCAGGTAAATCTGACAGACCTTGCAAGTTCCGCAATGTCTCAAGGGTGCTCTTCACGATGCCAATCATCGCGTCATTCTCGTCGCTGAGCTCCTGGCAGAGATTAGTCAGGAATTCAGTCGTCTCCTGCTTGAGACTGTATCCAACACTTTCCAGGCCTTCTCCGCCTTCCAACGCCTTCCGAACCATGCTAACTTTCGGGGTAGGGGTTATTGTTATTGTTGTTACGCCAAGTCCCTCTCGCTTTCCCCTCTGTCTTTCTGCAAGATGAGATTTAAGTCTTTGGAGCTCAACGTCACGTTTTCGAACATCTGTAGCGCACTGGCTTCTAATCTGTTGAATTGAGGTCTTCATGCGTTGTATCTGCTCCTTTAGCCCTCTATTTGTGACCTCTGCGCTGTGGATAGTAGCCTTAAAGGCGCGTTCCTGGCCTTCAGCAAGTGCCAACAATCGAGACAAATCCGTGGTCTTGGCTTGAAGTCGCTCCTAAAGCAAAAACGAAAATGACTTTGTTAGATTTAAATGTTCGAATTGCAGAGGGCAGCTACAACATACAATTTCGAGTGTTTGTTTCGCTTCTGTGCTCCGAAGTGCTCTGATGTTTGTCGCCAGGTTCTCCCTTTGCTCTGCCTCGCGCTGGAAACTATCAGCTTCTATAATTGTAGCACATTGTCCAAATAAATTGTTAATACAAACATCTCTTCTCAAAACTAGGTCATGAACCAGGTTTATAACCCTTGACATAGTGTCATCCACGCCCCCAGGTGCATTCTCTGGCCGTGCAAAATCGATCGGTTTCCCATTGCGCAGCAACCCTCGCGCAAGTAACAGATTATTAATGTAATCAGAAGCGGTAGATAGGTTTTGAGTCTCCATTTTCCTGCTTCTTTTGGGCGCTTGGAACCACAGCACTGGCCCCAGGACGTTGAAGTCAAGCCGACACCATTGAGTCGTTTGCTCACACATTTCCCAATCAGGAAGAGCATAAACATTACTCCGGTTGTCCGTTAGACCTAGCAGTGCAAAACTAGCCCAAATGCGTCTTGGCGCTAACCACAAGCGCGTAATTCGGGTCATCCTCGTCAAGCGCGCAGACAGATCATTCAAGCCATCTAACTCCTGTCAGTCACTTACATTACCAGTTGTGGCAAGTCATCTCAGTTAGCATATCATTATTATATTTATTGAACATGCCTCAAGGAGACGCGAATTCTCTTCAAGTTTACGGACAATCTCAATACCGGTATGGCAACTTTCACAGAGCACTTGCTGCATTTAGCCAGGCAAGTATACGTGCGATCACCGATATGGATGATAACCATAACTAAATTCCTTAGGTAAAACCAGGCATTGAAAATTGGGGGAGGTGACACCGTTGGTATTTTGGACAATAGAGCTGCAACTCACTGCAAATTAAAGGCGCCTAATGCGGGCCTTCAGGATGGCAGACGGATGATCGAGGAGAATAAAACTGACTCCCGGGTATGCTATTCTACAAACTTCTTCCAACTACAAATAATGATACTCAGAGCAATCATAACTAATTTTCCCTTCAGGGATATTTACGTACTGCCAAAATTCTCCAGTTGATGGATAAACATGAGAGAGCGCTCCAGACTTACCATTATGCCCTTCGTATATTACCATCAGATGACGCTGGCCGTCAGGTTCGTTAATTTCCTTTGCACTACGAATTTTCAATCTTTTCCATGGCGTAGCGGGCTAATCTCTTGCATAGCAAATCAAAAAATTAGCGGCAAAGTTAGAAAAACGATTTAAGCAGCCCATAGATTATTTTGCTCTCTTACCATTTGAGCTAATGTCCATGATATTAGAATATTTGGATCTAAAGTCCCTCCTGTGAGAATCCCCTTTTTTCTCGTTTATTTTCTCTCTCATTGTACCTCCCGACTAAACTAGCATGATGCTACAAAGTTCAGCACTCCGGGTTTCTAAGCATTGGAATATGGTGTTAAATTCGCTCCCCAAGTTATGGACCCATCTTGACCTCTCAAAAGCCAACCGACCCATCTCTCTCAAATCAATTCAGGTGTTCTTACGCAGATCACACTGGAGATTGACTCGCGCCTCAATAGCCAATCTTCAATCAGTCGATTTTCCTAAGCTTATGGCCGGGTTACAAAAGATTCCTTCTTTAGAACACCTGGAGCTTCTACCAGGCTTCTACCCGAAATTCGAATTTGCGCCAGTTTACACTCTCACTAGTCTAAGAACCTTAGTCTGTTCAGCAACATCCGAGATGACATTCTCTGATTTCATGAAGGTTTTATCGGATTGTCCGTTGCTTGAACGGGTCGAGGTTCATATCAAGCCTGCGCCGCCTAGTGACTACGAAGTGTTTCCTGCTAAACTTCCCAATCTGCGGTCACTAATCGTCCTTGGATGCCGTCACTATAGACATCCACATGATGTTTCCCCACTAGATCTACCATTTCTAAGAAATGTACTTAGCCCCTGACTCCGCATTCCATCTCAGGTACTAATTTAAAGTCCAGGCCACTCTATTCGATATAACCCCGAATCTTGAAGAGTTATACCTCATCCACAGATCATGTTCTACAACCTTGAGGATGAGTGACGTACCAAAAATTTCGAACCTGCCAAAACTCAAGCGTCTCGGGCTTCTAGGCATAAAATTCAACAATTACCCTAAACTACCCGAATCTATTGAACACCTCTCATTATCCATGAGCGAGTATGACCCCCCAATCATCCTACCAAGCAATACCATATCAGCGATGACACCGAATTTAAAAAGCCTAATTCTCCAGCGCTTCCAATACGATGAATTGGGTACATTTCTTATTGCTCTCACTCAATCGAAACCGTCCCTCACAAACCTTGATCTCGAGGGATGCCACCTACATGTAGAAGACCTACTGATAGCGATGATGCAAGGCAACCTAGAGAATCTCATGTCTCTAAACATCAGTGGCCTGGCAGAAATCGATGACAAGATTATCACAAACATAATCGACATGGTCCCTAATATCAAGGAACTGGACATTTCCCGGACACAGGTGAAAGAACACAGCGTGAAACGGCTCCTGGATTGCGATAAGTTGAAACTTGAAAAGCTTGTCATTCACAAGATGGAGACGCCATTTAGTAGGGATTTCATTGACTATGCCAGGAGCAAAGGGGTTGAGATTCCACCACCTATAAATCTGGAAGGGCGAAAACGGGTTCCTATCCCTCCAGCCTCACCGCGTAGATAATAGGACGAAATCTTACATACACCCCCGCCTTCATTCCTTTTTGGTCTATTCTAGGAGATACGCGTGGTTGAACTTGGGCTTGTTAACTGCATGACCTGCCAGAACTTGAAATCACTTTCCCAAGCATGCTGCGATTCACCTTTCAAGAACTTATCTTGAACGCCCTCCTTTTGGAAAGTGAAAATGCTGGTCGGCCGGCGCTCTGCAAGAAGCTAAGGTAGCTATGAAAGGGCTTGTTGCCATGTGGCCCAAACGACGAACACTGCGAAAGAGAACTCGTATTCCCATGTTCGGCCTTTTATCCTCTCTTTAAGTATATCTACCTCGTTCATACAATTATCCTCTAGCCAAGGAGAGCAAATATACGGCAAAAGAAGGCCCACTCATAGTTGGATTGCATTTCTTGAAAGCTAAGTTCAACGAAAAGGGGAAACCAAAACCTAGTTATTGAAATACCGAATGCCGATCGAACGATATATCACCCGACATTACCAGTAACACATTTCCAAGCCACAAATAGGCGCAAGAATGGGTGTTTTAAGACATAGAAATTATCCCATATATAATTCATACACCGCGCTCCTGGCACCATCTAGCGACCTCTCTGTCTAGCTTATTCTTTTGATCACGCACAAGCGTCATCATCTCTTCTGTCTGAGCTCGATAGTAGTAGAAGGACTCCAGCTTCTCGACCTTCTTCTGCTCAGAGGGAGCCGCTCCGTTCTGGGCACCGTTCGTGCCGACGACAGTAGGGAGATCCTTGCTGGTAAATGGAGCGACATACTTGTCGTGAATTGAGATCATGAGATCCAGTACCGCGAAAAGTTGGTTAGGAAGCCACTGCAATTGATGGTGTTAGTTTCAGTCACGACGTACGTCATAACTGAATGTCTAGGTTATTGCGACAGGATTGGAAACGGAAAGAGGGAGCGCGTTGATATATATGATTCGTCAGAGGTTCATGCGATAACAATTACTTCACGTACCGTGATAATTGGGCTTCCGCCAGTTGCTGTTGGATATGGCGTTCGCTTAATGATGTACTCTCGCGTCAACAGCCAATGCCTCCATCTGAAACTCCGGACATGGTCCAGGGCTTTCAGGTACAATAGTACTGTTTCCGCGTCTTGGACGGCAAATTCTTGAACGCCAACCTCCTCTGCCTTGGATGCCACATGTGCCAAAAATTGACGGTGTGGAAGCGGACGGTAGGCGCGGAATTCATGTAGAATTGTCGTCAATGGTGTAGATGGCATTTGAATTTGGAGAAGGTGGTCAAGTAGCGGAATCTGCATGAAGGGCAACTCAGCTATAAAATACCCAGAGCATTAAGTGGAATCAAGGGATCTTTACCATGCTATCGTTAGCGCCACTCTCTCCACGGAAGTTTAGCGGCTTGTTATCTAAGACGCCTTCATAGACGACGCCATTTGGAAACATTGCCTGAGATGTGATACCAAAGATAAATACGCGGAACGAGAGGTAATCACTAGGCTTGGAGTTCTTCCACATATCTATTTAGAGGGTTATGAATGAATGCTTTGCTTCATCGAGTGGGAGCAATACAACTTACCTTCCATACAAGCTTCAACTTTCGCCATCCCCTTGAGAATTTCCCTGAAGGCGTCATTAACTTCTTCCCGAGACGAGGGTTCTTTACTTTCCTCCAGCTTGTTGAGTATGCGGACAGCGCCACTGACTAAGGCAGCTGACTCCTTTACCATATCAACATGGGTCAGAATGAATCCCGCTTCGGAGCTTTTGGGATCAAGTCCACGCTCAAAAGCACGAATGAGCCTAAGATTAGAGTACTCTAACCCCAGTGAGGGATCAGCAGTGGTATAGTTAAACAACGCATAAGAAGCTGCGTACGACATGAAGGGCGGTACGTCGAGGCTTGCAAGAGACAGCGTTAGTAATAATAAACAAAATATGGAGAATGTCAGAGTTACAACCTACATCTCGGAGCATCGATAAAGAGGTCGTGCGATACACTTCGGCAAAGTATCCCGGCCAAGCCCATAACCGCCAGCAGGGTCTTTGGACCATTTCTCATAGCACGGTTCTAGTAAGTAAGCAGAGCAGACGAATGTATAATCCCTGAATACAGCTGTGATCATAAATCTATCCGGTTTACCATCCTCTGTGAGGAGCTTATCCACCTCATCAGTAAGGTCAGGAAGCTCAGCAAGGACAGCTGGGCCAAGCTCATAAGTAGCTAGGAGGCCAGGTGACCCGTCTGCCTTGACGACAGGCAGGCGAGAAGTCAAAGAGTCCAATGCCTTGAAAGCATCAGGCAAGGTTACAGGAGGAAGCTCGAAAGGCAAGAACCCCGATGAGGTGGTGATGGTAAAGGGGTCGATGTCTCTCGAGAGCTTGTCAGGGGTGTCGAATAGGTGGGGGAAGTGTTCCAAGGTAGAACAAGGTGCTTCAGACTTCTTCATGGTTACTTCAGATGATAGTTGGCAATATATCTTGTCGATCAATTGTGACAAGGTGTACTTGGGGGTGGAGGTGAAAAGGGGGAATGAATATATGGAACCAAAGTACTTGAAAGTATAATAGACAGAGTCTAACTTAAAAGGGAAATTTAATTGATCAACAACAGAAAATAAGCAGAGAAAAGGGAACAATGGAACGAAAAGGTGCTTTCTTGAGGAACAGAAAGACAGTCAAAACTGCGGGAGATGGTGGCGGATTATATACTTCATGAGGCCGGAATTGATACCGGCCTCGCGAACCACTATTACGAAACGGATAAAGAAGAAACGGGGATCTAAGCAGCAGGCTCATATCAGGTGATGTGACCTTGTTCGGAATGGGTTATGCACCTAGTATCAGAGTAAAAGCATCATATTCAAGCCTCCCAAGGTGCATAACTGGTGGCATCATGGCCTTCATCAACACAGCAGAGGCGAGGTTCTGCTCTTGAAGGTTTGACTGAGGTTAGAAAAGGGTTAAGACGCTATTCCAGTTATGGCTAGGCTGACCCTAACCTCGAAATGGAGCGTAATTTGTATGCACACATACCTAAGTTAAGTTTCTCTCTGAGTCACTCAAATAGGCAACGAGGCAGTCAATGTGGAAATGCTATTCTCTTGATGGCTTACACCCCATTTTGTTCCCGGTCGCCTTTCAACTTTTCAGTGACAATTCGAGAGTCCATCCAATCCCTCCCCTACGCGACATGATCTGCCCAACCTGGCAAACAGGATGCATCAATGAATCAATGCAAAGATGTGGAATACAGCTTTACATGTCTTGCATGTATATTTTGCTAGGCAGCGTATCTGCAGATGCAAACTTCTCTTAACCCCGAAAGCTCGTCCAAATATTTATCTCTCCAGGATCACTGGTTGCCAGTTCAAACCCGCAGCTTGGTAAAGGTGCCATTTCAATCCAGACCAAAGGAGACTTTACAGAAGCATCGAATACCCCTTACACACCAAGTCTAAATCGATGCAGGCTTATTCCACCTCAAAAACCAGGACTATATCCAGAAGATTTCGGCAGCGATTGCCCTCAGACGGACATGATGGAGATCAGAATTGAAGATTGTCCCAGCGAATTTTTCCGTGAAATGGCTGAAAAGCAATACGGCGTAGGCATGGGTCAGCCAAAGATAATTCATAACTACGTATATGAAGATATATTACCAATCTAGGGTTTGATAGCGAGGGGCGAGCTCAGGCCCAGGCTGTTCCTTTGCCCTCTTCTTACCAATCATATCCATCACTCGGATCAGTGAATCCCATCGAGAACAAAAAAAGAAAAAGAAAAAAAATCCCGAAAAGGGCCCCACAAGGTACCGTTAACCTAAATTTAAGCACAAAAGATGGCGTTCCCCGCATTTCCAGGGTTTGCTTGGAGCACTCCCCCGAGGTTAGGTGGGGGTTGGGCGGCAAAAATTCCGGCCTCCGTTGATATCCGCGCCAACAGCAATTTCGGCCAACCTTCCAAGGAATCAAGCAAGAACTCTCCACACCAATGAGCGTCCGCCCTCTGACACTGCATCTTCGGATCGAATACTGGAGCAAAGTTTGGAACCTTGCAAGCACCAGGTTTACATAAGACAACAGGCTTCTGCTATGAAAGAACTTGACGAAAACCATTATATGCAAAGCAGCCATGAACCGGAAAGCCATAGAAACTGGATGTGGTATGGGGGCTGGTAGAATTATAAAGCCCTAAGGTATCATACTATTTATTAAATTCGATAGGTTCACCAAAAGTATCCTTGACTGATTATCTCATAGAGCTGAGACAACAACGGCTAAAGCTACACATAACAACGAAAGAATCCAAATTTGCAACGGGACAACCGTTGATGCTGACGATGAAGGGTCTACCATCCCACTTTCAATGCTCGTATCAAGACATATTGTTACATTCGATGGCCCTCCCGCCTTCTTGCATTGCTCGTTAAATGCTCTGTCGAGCCCTTGATCACTCTTGGATGTATTGTGGTAAATCGCGATAAGCCTGATGGTCAAAAATACATCGGTTGTGCTTGGTGCACCGCTCCACTGTCCGCCGTCTGCCCAAACGTTCAAGTACGCATGGCCCGGAGCGTGTGGAATCCGCAGAGTGTTTGAATGCACCTGTGTTGAGTTCTGGTAGAATCTCAACTCCTCCGGGGTCCAATCAAACCGATGTCTTTGGAAGGAGTTCAGCAAATCGTTGTCGCGTAGTGGAATCACTTTCGTGGCATTGCTGATGACTTGTCCATTCTCGTCCAGAGCGGGGTGTGTTGTATAGTGGACTGGAAACCAATTTGATTTGAATTCCCTTGAGAGAATTTCGATATCAATTTCGTTCTCGTCGTCCTGTCTTCCAAGAACAACTCGACCCAAAGAGTTTAGCTTGTGCTTACCCTCCCTCTCTAAATATCATATTCTCCAAAAGAAAAGTGAAGAGAATTGAGAAATAGCTACTCACACGATACCAAAAGAATGCGCCACAGCTTCCACCTTTCGCATTTTCCAGCTTCAGCTCAGCCCGAAAACTACCGTGGATAATGTCGCCGTTCTGGCTGGCAATAGAAGCCACACTCACTTTTCTTTTCTTCGAAGCTTGTTCTTTCGAGTACCCCTGTTGTCGCAATACAAGGTTGCCTTCACGGAGGAAAACGTTTTCTTTTGCATTATCGATCGCCAAAGGTTTCACCCAGCCTTTCGGAGGAACACCCCAGTCCTGAATGACCCAATCCTTTATGAAATCCGGATTTGAACCGAGCCTTTTCGACGGTGACAATGTGCTGAAATTGTTGTATATAACATGTGTGAAGTAATCTTTTGTGTCGTCCATGGAGAACCCGCATTCGCAAGCTGCGTGGACCAAACTGATTTCTAAGAAAAGGAACACGACGAAAAAGACCATTTCTTCGAACCTGAATAATCGTCGTTTCATCTTCGGAGGTGTTATCGTTGACTCTTAGCCAAAGTATCTTCAACCCCGCGAGTACTACCCCATCGGCCGTTTTACCCAAGCACTCCAAAATGAAAGAATGTCCTGTGAAACGCACGCGTGCCAGGCTACTCAGCCATGTATTTTCACACTCAAAAGGAACAAACGAAAGAATTCTTCACTGGTTGCAAGGCTTCACGCGGTTTCTGTGGAGTAAGTAGCCTTATCAAGTCAGGACTGAGGAAATAGGTTTTTCGGCAAAATTAACCAAAAGGATCGGCGACAGCGTACGGGATAATGCTATCTGCAATGCGGGTATAATCTTTCAAAGCGAGCATCTAGTATTTAACTAGTGTTTATCTCGTCGCTTCTGCCGTGTTTTCACATAAACCGCGGCCAAAGCTTTGAAATTCCCGTCTAAACAAAGAAGGAACCACCGACCAACCCAACTGGGATGGTGCCTTCCTTTCTCAGCTGATCGAAGAATTACCAAGATCGGATTGTTGGGTATTAGTAGCCCATCATGGGTCGCTCCTTCCCAGATAGTGAATGTCCCTAGCAAGCAAGATCGGCGTGAGCCTCAACTCGGCAATATTTCAACATGCTCAGTTGATGAGTTTCGAGTTTCTGGATTAAATTGACAGCAAAACAGCCTACTTACCTATCAGCGACGTTGGATTAAAATAAATATGCAACCGCATGCAGTCAGCCGAGTGGTATGGCTAAGAATTTTAGGAGGCCGGCGTTGGTTGGTGTTGGTGTTGGCCCTTTGAGTTGGTCCTTTTTTCGAGATGTGGAGTTTTCATCACGAAATTTAAGGCTCCTCGTCACTCTCACATTCATCTTGAGGTTCGTTTTTGTCATAAATATATGTACAAAAGGGTATATACATCGTTCTTCCTACTATATAACTATATAACAGAGTACCTGCATTCAGCACGTTTCGTGATTTGAAGCCCGCATGGGGGTATGTTTCATTGATAGTGGCCAAATTGGTTATCGGTCAGACGCATTCTTCTGCGTTAAAGGAATTCCCTCGTCCGAGATTCTTATCCCAAAAATCGTGGTTCGAGGCATCCACCAACTAGTGACCAATTTGGATGAACCGAATAGCTTCTATAAGCCAACAAGCAAAGAGCCTAAACGGCAGATGGGGGAACGATAATTGAGTCAGGCTCTGGTCTATTTTGAGCAGTATCATGGGAATTTGACGCCGATGCGGTTCCCACAGATGCAGATACCTCCTGCCGCTCTCCCTCTCCTTCCCTTCCACTATTGGGTTTCTTTTTTCTTTTGAATATATTTCCCTCCGTCCAAATAGCGGCCGGCACCGCGCTGACGCAACACATAATTCCAAGCGTGAGCGTCATCACACCCCATCCTGCGCCCTCAACAGCATATCCGCCCCAAAGTGGGCCAATAATCAGCCCAAGAGCGTACGTCAAATTCCCTAACCCAAACGCCTGTGCATATGCCCCCTGTTCTCCATAATGTGCGGCGTTCTCTCGCATCTTCTCCTCGACGGATAGGACGATTTCGATCTGTACTGGGACTTCAAACAACATTGCCAAGCCGCCAGAGAAAGCGAGGAGAACGCAGAAAACGATCTTATTATACAGGGTATTCTGTGTCACGATGCGGAGTAGAATTACTGGGATCGTAGTGAGGAGGTATCCTATAGCGACGTACCAGCGTGTTCCATGCTTGTCGGCCAGCCAGCCTATGGCAGGAGATATAAAGGTAGGAATAAGGACTGCCAGAAAAACGAGCCCGGCACCAGCAGAGTCCCAGTGAAATGTGGAATGAACGAACAGGGGGATAGTAGCCTCGAAGGCTCCAAATAATATGGCTAAAACTGTGCAGCCCCAGAGAGCCATGACAAGGCGAATCGAGCTTAGCACTGTAATGAATGGTGGTAGGTAATGGACCAAACGAGAAATCCTACTCCCCCGAGGCTGAGCAACAGTGAAAGCTCTTGCCTCGTCTTCTTTTTGGGACACCTTTTCAGGCCCTTCCAGTTTTTGGGTAGAAAAATGCTCCCGAGCTAACTGCAGACCTATTGACGGATCCCACTTTTGCGCAACTCGAGCTTCAATCATGACGAGCCGAAAAACAATATCTGCCCCTAGGAAAATGAAGGCGGTAACATATACCATATAATACCCCACTTTCGCATATACAATGCCGCCTATCAATGGCGCGCTGATCGTTGCAATGCTTCGGGCGGCGACAATCGTTCCTAAGTGCGCTCCGATTTCCTGTGATCCAACTCTATCCGCCATCATTGCCAGTGCGATGGTCCACACAACTGCACCTGACAGGCCCTGTAGGATTCGGGCGACTACTAACAAGGCCAAATTCCTTGCGAGTGCGAACATCACGGTTGCACCCGCCAGGAGCAAAAGGCCAACGATGAAAGGAACCTGGCGGGCTTTGGTCTTGTCCGCCCACCACCCACAAAGGGCTAGAAAACATGTCAGCCATGAACATGAGCATGGAACGGGTACTGGTGTGGGTATCTTTTCTCTGGCATGGAAATGGAATCAGAGACACTAACGCGATCCAACGAGCAAACCTCCCGCATATATGGTAAGGAGAATTGACGTCCATTTTTGCGCTACGGATATATATCTATCTATCAGCCACGGCACAGGTTTTCGGATGGGAAGGGAAACGGGAATTGCTCACCATCACTGGGATCAAGTCCAACCCGATAACTAAGCGCGAACGGTATCACCGGCACGATCTGATCAAGTTTTCCCCGTCAGAGCGCTCTCTAAACTCCAGAGTCATCCATCCAATTGTATCCAACTATATTGGATCCAAAATTTAAGGAAATCAAATGAGCCAGTAGCGTACCAATGCATATAGGAATATATCCTATCAACAAGCAATCCAATCGGTTAGCCAACTAGTTTAGTTCAGTCGAATAGGCGGGAACTTCCGGTTGTCTAGAACGATAAATTTGCGTTCATCCACACATACCGCAAACACCGAGAATGAGCACACCCAGAGAATAAACCACTTGGACGAGCGGATGTGCAGCCATTTGGGCGGGTTCTTATTTTCCCGCCATGGCCATGGCCATTGCCATGGGATGGCATCTGGGGAATTTGGCCGTTGCAGACAAGCCATCTATATGCTGGGAGGGATTTTCTTAATGTATGTATATGCTATCTCTCCCCTCTCCCTACCTCATAGAATGGTGAGGTAACTTGATAATCCGAATCCGGAGGGAGGTATTATCTCATCTGTGGAACTTCGTACTGTAGATTAGGCGTATATATATTTATACAACGGACGGCGATATAGGAAAGATATATATGTACAGGAAAAGGGAGGGTGGTATCTAAATATTCATCAACTAGTCAAAGTCCAAGAAAAAAAAATTGAAAAGAAATTGAAAAAATTGACCTAATGGGGGGAAAGACTCCTCCTTAGGATAAATATCATGGCTAGCAGGAAGCCCCCGTATAACCTCTAGTTTAACCAGCGGGTCCGCTCAACTCTCTCCCCGGGTATGATGTATCCAAAGGGCGGTTGGGGAATTGATTATTAATATTGGATCGAAAATAAAACAAATTTGCCCATGTATGTACGGAGTATACTTACCGTACCGTACCACGATGAGCAAAATATTCCAATGGATCTCTCCCCTCTCCTCCCTGAAGTCTCGGCTACGGTTTGGATTTGAGTGAACGAATACGCTTGAACGGGGGTTTCCTTAAGTTAGTTCAGTAGTTATTATTTAACTACAGTAACTACATAACTACCTAGGTAATTAAGGACCCTTACGGAGCGAGCTACCTTAGGTGCAGTGCAGTGCAGTGTTGTTCTCGACCCTAACGACCCAACTCTAGACTCGGAACTCAGTCGGACTCAGACGCGGACTCCGCTCGTCCTTGATTAAAGTGCAGCAGGAGGGAGGGGAGGACTGGTTGGTCGGGAGCCTAGGCGCCCGGGGAGCCGGCGGGATAGCGGATGGGGTCGTCGTCCATAAGTTAGTTTGTCCTGGATCATAAATCTAGGTAGGGTAGTGGTGGTGTGGTGTGGTGCTGGGGTAAACGCATACATCTAACGAACGAGGGTGGTATGATAGATTGCTTGGTGAAGGAGGAGGAGGAGGAGGAGAAGAAGAAGATGATGATGACAGCAACCATGCAGAGACCAGGGCAGGGAAGATATTAAGATATCCAAGGGCCAAGAAGCTCGGGGGTTTTGTTGCTCTGTAGCATTATTGGTTGAAGGTAAACAGCGTCCGCAATTCAATGAGGCAGCGAAGTCAGAGAACGATGAATAAATGAGAGGAATTGTAAAGTTATACCTAGACATATCCCCTCAGTTCTCAAGAATTACAGTAATCCTCTTCTCTCATTTACCTACCGTTCGTCGCCTCTTTAACTTCCATCTTGCAGTCAAACTCCATGTAGCTGTCCTCTTAAATCTTCATCAATCACTCTTTGAGTTAGTTGAGGGTGAGTAATGGATGCTCATCTACCCATGTACTGATCAAAATCCAGGAACAAGAAAGGAAAAGAATCAATGAAAAAAATGCACAGAGAGTTAACTACTCATGGTAGTGTTTTGAGTTCTATTTATATTTTAGCAGGGCTAGAAAATAAGAGAGACAAAGAGCTGAAGAAACAAAAGTTTTCAATGAAAAAGAAAAAGAAAAAGAAAAAGAAAAAGAAAACAAAAAGCCCTGTCAACTCATTAGCTATAGTTAATGAAAAGCCAATTCCCAAATTCATATTCATGTTCACTACATACCCGCTATATCAGATGCAACATAAGCTTGCAATAGAGAAATATAAAGAGGCGTAGTTGGTGGTTTACTTCAGAGGGGGGACCAAAGAAAACAAGTCCAGTAATAATAATAAAAATATAAATATAAATATAAACATAAAGAAAATTAATGATGAGGATGCAACTGATGAATACCTACCTCTCTTTTGCAGAAACACGAAAAGAGAAAAGAAAACCATAAATGTTTCCATCTGAGCACACACACGCTCACTAATCTGTAATTTCCCCCATTCCATTCCTTTCCATTCCTTTCCCTTCCCTTCCCTACCCTACCTTGTATTTCCCCTTCCTCCCTTACTTCCTTCTTCTCACCATTTCGCAGCCTGTTCTTCAGGATGATGTGTGTGCCCATGACTTCGACGATATTAACTATATGATACCAGCACGGGAAGATAAAAGAAAGACAGAAAGAAAGAAAAAGAGGCACACCAGCCAACCCCCCCCTTCTTGTTTACCTAGCACAACGAGAGCATGGAGTGTTCGAGAGGTATTGGAATAAATTGATGTTGGTGTGCTGGATGGGAAGAGAGTGACAAGGCAGGGAGTGGGAGGCGGGGGAATGGCAAGGGGAGGGGGGGGGAGGGGAGGGGATGGAGGAGAGAGATGGGATGAATAAGGGAACATAATAATGGGAAAAATGGATAACTAAAAAATTGAAAATTAAAAAGAATAAAAAGAGAAAAGAAAAGAAAAGAAAAGGAACAGCCTGTGGAATGGGATAATAATGAAAGAGAGGAAAAGAACATAAAAATAAAATAAAAATAAAAATAAACACACGCACACCCCCATCGTGCTCCATTACATCAGAGAATACTCCGTCCTGTATACTGCATACTGCATACTGCAAATGCTACAAACGTCGTTTTTGTCGTTTTGTCGTTGCTGCTGGCTGCTGATGGTCTTTTTTATATCACAAAATCATGCCGCACATTAATAAACGCCCCAGCGCCGCCGTCCTCGCTGATCTCATTTACCAGCACCTCTGTCTGTTGGTATAGCTTCTCTAGAGCGGCGGATGAGGATTTGCCAAGGAATACTATACACGATTAATTTTGTCTAGATTAGCATATCATCGTAGAATAGAGGCGGGGTGCGTAGGGAATGGGATGATGATAAAGTAAAACTGCTATGAGAGAAGAAAATAACAAAAGAAAAACTCACCCAGAATCGCAGAATTCAACTCCTCCGCCACCGGCACGCGCCCGCTCGGCTCAAGCAGATGCCCGTGCACGCTCGACTTGGGATTCGAGTAGGCGACTAGTGAAAATATATCGTCCAGCGCCCGCTTATACTCCCGCCGCTCGTCGCCGGGGTAATCAGCCTGCAGCTCCTGGCCGTATAAGATCGCTTTGTGGAGGAGGCCGTGGTAGTTTGCTACGTTTGCCGCCTGTGGCTGTGTCGTTGTGCGCGGGGTGCCGTTGTACTCGGCTGATTCTTCGACGTCCATGCCGTTTTCGTCGTCGTCGTCGTCGTCGTCCAGGGCTTGGTCGTCATTATCATCACGATCGTCATGTCTCCCACCGGCTTCTAAAGAACCATTATCGTCTTCGTCGTCATCGTCGATGACATCGTTCATCTGCTCGTCTAATTCCATATCGTGCGCGAAGACATCATCGCTAGTATCATATACTGACATAGAGGTAGCGCCATTGGGTGAGCGGGGCGCCTGTTTGGACGTCGAGGAAGTAGTAGGTTGTGGTTCAGTGCAACGGCGCATCATCTCGATGAATTTCCGACAGCGGAGGCGGAAGTATATCTGCGGATTGTTGACGAGGACGTCGGCGTACGAGGCATTTGTTAATTTTAAAGCCTTGTCGATATCGCCGTCCAAAATGGCAGTACGGATTCCTGAAAAATAAGTGTCAGTACATTTAACACCCTCCAAAAAAAAAAAAAAAAAAAAAAAAAAAAAAAAAAAAAAAAAAAGGGATCAGAGAGGGAGTTGGGGATAGAAATGTTACTTTGTCGTTTAATAGCATCACCATCCTCCTCAGCCTGATAATCCTTTAACGGCGTCTCTCGCCCATTCTGCAAAGCCCGCGACTCCTCCTGGACCTCTTCAGCAAATGCTCGTGCGGTCTCTACATAGCCACCATGCGCCAAAAATTGAGCCACGAGTTCCTGGATAAACGTCGTCTCGTCGAGGGACGAATGCAGATTAGAAATACTAGTAGCCCTTATGTCCGCTTGAACTTTGAGTTTCTCCCTCTGGAGCAAAAGTAAATAATATTGTTAGCATGCATTCGGAAGATCAGACAACCACTGGAGTAATAAATGTTTTCGTCTCTTCAGAAAAGGAGTAGTAGCCTTACCTCCATCAGCCCATCAATATCATAGATAAAAGGAGACTGGCCAAAATTCGCCTTTAGATGCGTGGTGGGTTGCTTCTTCACCCCAACGGCAGGATATAGCTTCACATTCCTCAGTTCCCGGAACGCATCACCTGATTCAAACACACGAAACTGTTAGCAATCCCCCATACCTTTAATACATGGATATTGTGTTTGGTAGTCCAAAAAGTAACCCCGGGGGGGGGGGGTGTGGATAATGCCATACCAAGAAACACCCCATTCCTCGTGAAAAAAGCAGTACTCGTCGAGAAATTCACCCCGCAGCCAATGGTATCATTCACCGAATATTTGGGCCCATACTGCGTACCCTGACCCTGCGTCTCGCCGAAGAAAGTCCTGCCATCGTCGCCGTGGTAAGCCCAGGATTCCGGCTCCCAGCCCGGTAATCGTTCGAGAGATGCTTTGTTGCTCGTGAAGCCCACGCATATCATCCTAAAACGAATATATTAGCTAAAACCACATTTTACCCATACTAAATATCGAATATATAGACTTATATATAATATATATAAAATAAACACGTACCCATCCTTCGGCTTCGACATGATGGTAACCTCAAAGTAATAAATGCCGCACTGCGGCGGCATTGGATGGTCTGCCCGACACGACGCAGCTTCATGATCAAGCTTAAGAGGGTTGCCCAAGTACCGCACCTCCAGGCCATCGCTCAGCAGGTCCAGGCCTGCGTTTTTATACTGATCACTCCAGCGGGAGGGAAGGGGCATGATGGGGGTGCTCTCATCGTCTGATGATGAGGGGGGGTGCTCGATGATCTCGTGGGTCATGCCGCGGTGGGATGGGGCGAGGCGGTGGAGGTTTACATTACTGGAGTTGGTGGAGAGTGGGGGCGCACCTGGTGTGGTGTTGGAGCTGGTATTGGTATTTGTAGCGCGGGCAGCATTATTCGCGGTGGCGGCGGTGTTTGAGGAGGTGGAGGCTGAGGAGTGGTTTGAAGCGGAGTCCTTTTGAGTAGATGATATTGCAGCTGAGGAGGAGGAGGATGTGGCGGCGTTGAAGGTGTTGGATCTATGTGCTGCGGCGAGCTGCGCGATGTATTTGGAGTTTCTGAGATATGAGGGGGTGAAGAAGGAGGTAGCAGGGGAGGAGGAGGGACCGTGCAGGAAACCTGTGTATGGCGAAGGAGACGGGGAGTAGTGGTCTGGATAGGTTGCGAATTGCCGCGAGTAAAAGGGGAGACCGGATGTAGTTGCAGGATTTGTGCTTGTGCTGTTGGGAGGGAGAGATCTCCTCCATGGGCTTCCTGCAGCCCCTCCTCCTCCGCCTCCTCCCCCGCCACTGGCACCGTTTGGCTGCATGTTGCTGTTATGGGCGACACTACTGTCCACCCAGACGTGTCTGCCACTGCTATGTGCTCGAGAATCGGGAGGAATGTAGTGCGGGGGGAAAGAGTTACTTGGAGTAGCGCCGGATGCTGAAGAAGAAGAGAGGAAAGACGGAGGATGCGGACCTGACCAGGCCGACGGATGTTGCTGATGTTGTCGAGGATTATGTTGCTGTTGCTGTTGCTGTTGTTGTATTTGCAGTAGTTGGAAGAGTTGCTGCTGCTGGTGTTGGAGAAGGTTTTGGGAGGAAGCTGGATCTAGGGAGGAGGAGGAGGTTGTATTGGCGGCCGTCGGTATATTGCTAGTATTGGATGGGGTGGAGTTGGCTAGAGCAGCGGTGCCAGAGACAACAGAAGCATAGGACGAGCGTCGGGGCATGGACGAGAAAGAAGGCGGCGGTGCAGGATAGGAGATTGGAGGACCCCCGCCACCGGAGCCAGGAGGAGCATTATTTGACATAGTAGTAGGATAGAGAGGGAGGGAGAGGAGAAAAGACGAACGAGGTTGTGGTGGTGGTGGTGATCAGGTGTAGTGGTGGTGGTGGTGGTGGTGATAGTGGTGGTAGTGGAGCAGATAACTTAGAGGCGGTGGTGTGGACTCTAGATGGGACAATGACCTCACGGCAACACCACGAGGACTGCTGTGTAGTTATATATAACTAATATAATCTATCAGAAGTATTGCCGACAGACAGATGGCTCGATCAGGTGTTGGGTTCTGGTCAGGCTCAGGCTCAGGCTCAGACTCAGCAATGAGTAAATTCGTTGCCTTTTTATACGTCCGTGATGGTTGATGGACGATGGATAGAAAGACGTATTTCCTTATTCTTCTCTTCTCCCCGTCGTCTTGGGCGCTTTGGTCGCTGGGGACAGAAAGAAAGAGGGAGAGGCTAGAATGATGTGCGGAGTAGTAAGTAGTTTTATTATTAAATAGTTAGTATGTTGTATTATTTATTAGCCCAGATATATCGCTCGAAAAAACAAACCAACCTCCATTTCCTAGCAGCAGCAGCAGAAAAATAATAGACATATATATAAAAAGGGAAATTCCCCGGTGAAACAGTCTAAATATTTCTTAACTGGTGGTCTGATAAGTTGAGGGTTTATTATGTATTTAGAGCCAGCCAGGCCAGCAACTACCACCGCAACCACCAACCAACCACCACCACCACTACTTACTACTACCACATTCTCCAACCTACATTGAACCGATACGATCATTCTTCGCGCTGACTGGCACGGGGACGGGGAAACTACCTGCTCGTCTCTCACATTTCAAATAATCTAGTTCGGTGCAGTATTGCCGATTCCTCAGCGAAGCCTGGGGTCGGGGTCGGGGCTAGCAAATGCTACATGACTAGCTACCTCCTCCTCCGACTTTCTCCTCCTCGTATTCCATGTTACGACAGGGAGGGATTGCAAGAGGCGTGTTCTATTTATTCCCTTGCGGATTATCGAACTATTTAGAGTATAGGCACGTCCACGTCCATCCTCCAGAGTCGCCCGAGTACCTATCCAGTGTGTATGTGTGTACAGAATCCAAACCCCAGAATCCACCAAACCGGTCTGTACCTGCTGGAAGGGAAAAAAAAAGTCCATCTATCTATATACATAAGCAAAAGGGAAAACTAGAGAAATATAGAAGAAAAATATTCAGAACGGAAAAACCAAGCATATGCGTCTTTCTTTTTTTCCTCTTCTATATTGTATCTCCCATCCGTCCATTCCCCATCCTGCCCTCAGACACCATTAAAAAAAAGAAAAAAAAGCCAAACGACAAGAAAATATCATAAAATACAACCATATTAATTCTCCAATCCATCCCTCGCTTTGCTGAGTCCGGTCTGCCAAGAGCAAAAAGAAAAGAAACGATCCCGTGCTAGATAGAGACCCGAAAAGACAAACCAAAACGAAGTGAAACGAATATTGAAATATAAAAATGAAGATGCATGCCCAACCCGCTCTTTCAAAATACTTTTTTGCTTTTTTGCTTTTTTGCCTTTTCCCCTTTCTGAGATGTATGTGTATGTATGTATGTGTAGCTGGCAGTCAGTCGGACGAGAGGAAGAAGAAAAGTAGAAAAATAAAAGAAGGAAGAAGAAAGAAGAGTGGTGGAGGGACGGAAGAAGGCTGTACAAGGTAGGTAGGTAGGCAGGGACATTTATTAGGAAAACAGGTAAATTAGAAAAGAACCAAATGACAAATACCGATTAGCAGAGACGGTAGTAGAAAGGATGGTTATCAAATATAAAGTTGAAACAAAAAGTAGAAGAAAAACACACCCTTTATAACCGTACGAAAGTGCAGAGAGAGAGAAAAAAACCCCTCATATAATAGGGCAAAAATATGATACAGAGAAAGGAAGTGGTACATTGGAATCAGCAGATGAGGATGAAAGTAAAGAATAAACCCAAGGTGATGAGGATGAGAAGGGGTAGTCATACCAGAAAAGGAGGAAGAAAAAACAATCCCCCCTTTTGCCGGCAGAATCGAGACGGGACACCGACATCCAAAGGAAAATTAAAAAAAGAGAGAATTCTATGCTCGACAGGTAGATCGACCGGACCAAGGACGGACAGAAAACAGAGGCACGGTGAAGTTTCTTTTTCAACTTTTCAACCACCCAACCCACCACTAGACAACGGCGACAGAAACAGCCGTAGCTGAACCGGCAGCATCACCACTCTCATTAGAATTATTAGCATTAGAATCGGCATTCATATCTGCCCTCGATGTGGTCGTCGTCGCTAGCGGCAGTAACGGGGTCACATCCCCATCTCCATCCCGATCCTTGAAACTCTGCTTCTCTTCACCCGCAAAGGCGCTAGCCGTACTCTGATTCGCGTTGCTATCAGCATCGTCGATGGCGGGCGCGCCGCTGCTGCCAGCAGGAGCAGTTGCAGAAGAGGAAGCGGGAGCAGCAGCACCAGTGCCATTGGCCATATTAAACGTGGCACCATCCGCATCCTTCCCACCACCACTGGTGCCCTGCTCTTGTTGCTGTCCCTCCGTCCCTTCCTTCCGCGGTCCCGTCGGTTGTACATCCTCCATGCTACTACCACAATCACCATTAACAACAACAGCAGTAGCATCAGGCCTGGGCGGTGCCGCCCACGTCGGGACCTGCCAAACAACCCCCGTAAAACTCTTGAGGTTAAACGTTTTCCGCTCCCATTTGCGGCATGGCTTGCCTGTGCGGTCGAGGGCGCGCAGGCCCGCGTTGATAGCGCCTTGGTTCGCTTTGGGGCCTAGTTTGTGTGTTGGTGTCGGCACATGGCCGGTACCTGTGCCGGAGGTGCCTCCGCCGGGGGTAGGGCGAGAGCTGGGGTCGATGGAACCGTCCTCTCTGTAATATTTTTGTTCTCATGTTAGCAATTTTTGTTCGAGGTGGTGTAAATTTTGGACGAAAAGGAGGAGAGAAAAAAAAGCGAATAAGAGGTTCGAACAAACGGTGGAAAATGGGAAGGAAACGTACAATCTCGGCTTCTTCTTCGGCCCAGGCTTCCCTCTTGGTCTCGGTGTGATATTGGCGTCAACACCCTGTCCTAGACCCCGTTTGCTCCCAGGTTTCGGACCTGGGACCCCTCTCCGTCTCTGGGCCTCTGGCAGAGCCGCGGCGGGTGTGGAAGCTGCGTCTGAAACATTATCAGCAGAGGAGGCGGGTGCAGCCACGGTGGGGGTAGCTTCTGCCGCTGCGGAGGCGGGGGTTGAGGACGGAGAGGAGGATGGCGATGAAGGCGAAGAGGAAGCTTTGGGTTTGGTCTTGTTGTCTTCTATGGGAGGCTCCTCTGGCGTTGAGGTGGTGGTGGTGCCGGGGAAGCGCGAGAGGAGTGAGGAGGAGAGCTTGAGGACGAGTGGGTTTGTCATTTTTGCGGAGGAGGGTTTGGAAGACGATCTACCGCCGGAGAAGGAGGAGGTGGATGGGGTGGAGGAGGAGGAGGGAGCCCTGGTGGGTGACGGCATGTCTATTAAGCTGGCTTGGTGGTGGTAGAATAATTGCAACAATAATTTTTTCTCCCTTCCTATAGTGGTTTGACGAAGATGGCTCCAGCCACTTTCTTGGGATGGCAAAAATTCTTCGCAACGGTGAATGAAGGGGATTTGCGTTCGAATTAATCCCAATGAAAAAAAAAGAAACAAGAAAAAGAAGGTTTGCCGGGCGGCGTAATTCCCATTTAATTTCCTGTCCGGCCAAGGGAGGCTTGACGTAGAGGTGGGATAGGGCTGCCTTGTAGAGACGACGGGAGGGGTGGGTGGGTTGAGGCGACTCGATAAATTGGGTGGTCAGCCTATCTTGGGGATATTAGCGCGTAGGCGTGATGGTGATGTTTTCGCGTTTGGGTGGTGATAGGCGGTATACAGCCGTGATAGTCGTGGTCGTGGTGATGGTGGTGATGGTGGTGATGGTGGTGATGGTGGTGGTGGTGGTGGTGAAGGGAAGAAAAAGTCAGGGAGGATGGGTGGAGGGGAGAATTAATAGGAAGGCAGCCAGGCGTGGGCTGAGAGAGAGTTTCATTGTCATGATGAGGAGACGAGAAAGCCGGAGTGTGGTGTTAGCTACTACCTACCTACCTACCTACTACTATTATTATTATTATTACCAGCGAGACGAGAGTGGGAAGTGGAAGCGGGCGGGAAGCGCAGCCATCACACCAGGAAACGGAAACTGAGGCACAGGCTTAGGCGTGGGCTTGGTCTCGCTCGTAGAAACATACACCCGCGCGCTGGGGAGCGCCAAGGAAAGGTTCCAGCGAATCCTGTTACCGTACCGTTCTGTTACGGCCTCGTTACGCCCAAGTACGCAACGTAGAGCCAAGTATCCAGCTGTTGTGTATATTATACAGCAGCCTTACGGGTGTACACGGCTAGACCTGTTACAGCCACTCGAGTGGTGACTAAGCAGCCCCCATTCCTGGCTCATCATGATGTTAACTCTATATGCACCTTAGATACAGACACGCACATTGGAGCAAAAAGGAATAGAAATACAGGTACAAATATCCAAAACTGCCAAACCTAGTCAAATCAACCACACATGCCTGTTTTAAACAGAGCGTGAATGGTTCAGGGATATACCCCTCTGCCATTCCCTGCTCATTCAATGAGCCAAGAACCAGAATGCTAGAATAGGGAGGGAGAAATAATATATGAACACACCGTATTCGTTCCTTCGTTCCACAGTCTTCGTTCGAGCTTCATATACTTACGGGCACTGCAAATTAACGGAGCAATTATGTAGGTATACATTTAATAGGAAATAGGGACAAAGAACTCTCAAGGGCCTGATGATGAATGATGGTGATGATGATGTAATGTCTATCGCCAATTCTCGCTACTCTAAATGAACATGCCCATACCGGCTACAGCCAAAATCCATTGTGCAGAGAGAAAAGAAAAAAAAAAAAAAAAAAAAAAATAGTTCTATCTATGCAACATATCGAAACATAACATACCTCCCGTCTCGAAGAAACTGACCAGGGAAACAAACATCACCCCAAACACCATCCCATAAAAGAGCATAAAAAGCAAAAGCAACGCAAAGCCAATACATCATCAATAGCCAGAAACAAAAAAAAAAAAAAAAAGAGAGAGAGAGAGAGAGAGAAAAACCTGCCTCTCAAATCCCCACCCCAGCCCACCTCTCCATAACCACCCTCACCGCCTCCTTAACCTCCGGCGCATCCCTCACAGACCCCAAAACCAGCCCTTCCTTCATCCCCCGCCGCAACTTCCCAACACTCTCCTTATCTCCCTTAAAAGGCGCTAGCCCTAGCTGCAACAACCGCGTCGCCTCCGCCTCATTCACCTGCGCAAGATGCATCAGTTGCGTCAGCTGCGTCTGGGTTTGCGCTGTCAGCCCGCCGTTGCTGCTTGCTGCTGCTGCACTTGATGATGATGTTGCTGAGGAGGAGGACGAGTCTGGCGGTGTCAGTTGGGAGATGAAGATGTTGAGGGTCATGGAGGCGTTGCGGGCTAGGGTGAGGGTTTGGAAAGGGAGGAGGTAGAAAATGTCTAGATGGAGGAGGGTGGAGAGCCAGGGGGGTAGGTAGGAGGCGGGCATGAAGGTGCCGTTTTTGTGGGTGAGGAGGGCGAGTTCGAGGGTCAGGAGGGCGAAAAAGATGTAGAAGCGCCACTGTATGTGGTGTTAGTATGTGAGTGAATAGGGACATATATGTGTAATTATAGAGATTGGTTTTCCAAGGGAACAACAGGACGAGAACAAAACGTACATATCGTCCCCAGGCCGAGAACCAGAACAGATTCATCAGTACCATCATGACAAACCCGCCTAAATACTGCGGCAACAGCGCGCGCAACCCCACAAACAGAAACTCGCCCATCGTCTTCGCCTTAGACCCTTCCACCACCTCCTGCCCAAACCGATCGTACGCAAACCGCTTCACGGGGTCCAGCAACGTATCCTGCGCCAACCTCAGTCGCAGAAATAGCGCATCGGGCGACTCATAACCGGTGCCGTCACTGTTGAGAATATACTGCTGGCTCTGGCGCTTGTCCGGGTGGTGCAGGGTGGCTAGACGCCGGAAGCGTGATTTGATGGTGCGGTCATCGTCTGTCGGGAGCACGCCTAGTAGTTGGTAGAAGTCGCCCTTAGCGCGGAGTGTGTGGTAGGCTTCGTAAAGGGTGTAGAGGAGGTAGGAGGTTACGACGACGACGTAGATTCTGCGGTAATGGCGGGCGTGTCGCGGGCTAGAGGGGACCGGGTGAGGGTCACCGGCGCGAATGGTTATGCGGTAGTACAGGTTTTGGAGGAAGGAGGTTGCGTACTGTTTTGGGCATTTGTTAGATAGGGATTGTATATGTGTATATCTACGAAGGGAAGAAAGCTCACTCTTGGGAGAAAAGCCCAGCCGGCGTAGGAGAGAACGGTGGAGAGGACGTCGCCGGCCATTTTGCTGTGGAGGTAAGGAGGTGTCGATTGATAATCAACGAAGCGTTCCAAGAGAAATTTCGCGGATAAAGAATGAAGTAGCTCTAAGAAGGGATTGATTAATCTATGACATACATTTCTCCTCAGCAGTGCCGGCACCTCTGAGAAAAATGATAGTCTTCCGCAAACCCAAAAGTATAAAGAAACCTATCTACTTCCATACGCCTTTGTGTTGGGTTCCAGGTTGGAAGTCTTGGCGCCAACCCCAGAAAAAAAGTCTCCGCCGAAAAGTGAAAAAAATATTAACCATCTGCAACATCAAACTTATTTACGCACACAAGGCATTGCAGCCACAACGACGGGTGGAATATCCGCATGCGCCATGTCACTGGACGCAATGGACATCGATCCCGCTCCCCTTTCACCAGAGAGAAAGCGCAAAAATAAAGAAAAGGACAGGCACTCGGCCAAAAAGCGCAAGCATCAAGTGACCACCACCACCGCACAGCCAGATGTAGAGGAGTCTTCACCAAAAGCGAAGAAAAAGGAGAAGAAGGAGAAGAAGCATAAGAAGCACAAGTATCATGAGGGTCTCGAGGCATCTGCGCGAGCGCTGCCAGATACGCCCAATTCGCGATCTAAGAAGCCCAAGAAGCCTGCACACCAATCCCACCAAGCTGCCTTGAACGATGACTGGGAGCAAGAAGAACAACCTTCCAAACCGCAATCCCAATCCCCAACAACCTCCAGAAAGCCTCTCTCGAAAGCCTCTGTTTCGCAATTGGAATCCACATCAGCAGACTCCACAGAATCGTCCGCCTTCCACCTCATAACCGCAACCCTCTACGTCCCTCTCTCCCCAATCTCCATCTCCCCAACCCACGCCCTCTCCTCCCTACAAGCCGAGCACCTCTCTCCCCTCCTGCTCACCTACTACCCACCCCTCCGCGGCATAGTGCTCGCCTACTCCAACGCCTCCATATCCTCGAGCGCTCCCTCACCAACCTCCCCGCCAACCCCCCCCCACAACCCAGACGAAGACCTAAACCCACAGCCCTTAACCCTCGCCGTGAGCGCGGGCGAATACGGCGTCCTCTATGTCTATCTGACAGCTACGTTCCTAATATTCCGCCCAGAGCGCGGCCAGCTGCTCGAGGGATGGATAAACGTGCAATCCGACGGCTTTCTGGGCGCCGTAGTGTACAATCTCTTCTCCGTAGGCATTGAGCGTCGCCGGCTGCCCGCTGACTGGCAGTGGGTGGCGCCGGGAGAAGAGTCAACTACTGCAGCTCTGGGAACCACTACGCCTAAAAGATCCAGCGGTACTGACGACGACGATGATGACGACAATGAGGATAAGGATTCAGATTTCGACTCTGACAAGGAGAATTTCCGCCCGCTTCCTGCGACTTCATCTACAATCCTCGACCTGAACGCCCAGAATCATAACCATGAAGGCATGGAGCCGCCATTTGAAGCATTCGAAGATGCTGCCGCCGGCTATTTCCGGACGCGCTCGGGAAGACGAGTGCGCGGAATGGTCCGGTTTCGCGTCAGGGATGTGGATGTCATTCCAGGCGCGGAGCATGATAAGGGCTTTCTGAGTATTGAGGGGACGATGCTGAGTGCCGTGGAGGAGGCGAAGTTGCTAGAAGAGGAGAGGAGAAGGGCTGCGTTGGCTCCATTGTCATCATCATCATCATCATCATCGGCGGTAGCGAGAGCAAGAGCGGGAGCAGGGAGGAGTGGTGATGAAGTACCTCCGCGGGCGATGATGTCGGGTGGGCTGGGGATCCCGAGCGCTGCTGCTACTGCTGCTGCTGCTTCTGATGATGATGCTGATGATGATCTAATGGAAGTGGAACCGGAGGCGGAGCTGCCCGTGCCCGTGCCGGGGAAACAGGGGAAGGACAAGGAGAAGAAGAAAAAGACTAAGGTGAAGAAGACGACCTCATGAGAAGTAGGCACAAAGTTTGAGGGGTAGGCGGGAGACGGGATTTTGAGATTACGCCGGATGTTTGGTTGGGTTTGGTATATACTACTCCATACTTTGCCCTTTTTTCTTTGATCTATAGAAGCACATGTGAAGATATCGATTTTCCACACTTTCCATTCGCGGTCTCATTTGCTATGTGGTCTCATGTATATCCTGGGAGAGGTTTTCATCTCATGTTTTGTCCTTGGTATTGTCGCTGTTTTTTTGTGCTAATCTTCATAGCTGTCTCTTTTTGCATGCTATGTCGGCATGCTTTGAAATATAGGGGTGATTATTCTTTTTTGTCAAGGATTAAAGATCATAGAGAGCATTCCATTTATGAAGATTTGGTTTTGGGATTTATTTTTTCTTCTTTGTGGTCAGTTATATTTCACTTGAATTATCATCGCCAACTCCCTTCAAACTGAATCCGACCCAATGCCACGCCATCCATTAATTCCTAATCATGGAAACCCCTCCCCCCCCCCAAAAAAAGGGCACATACACCTTCCTCATGCCAAATCCACCTTCAACACATCCACCCCCTCATCCACCTCCTTCTTGTTCACCATCTTCCCCCTCTTCATCAACTCAGCACACTTCATAACAATCGGATCCATCCCCATACTCGCAACCGCCACCACCGTCTCACCCAGCACATAGTATGCCACGAATTTCCCCGCCTCCGTATCCCCCTTAATAATCAAATCGTCAAACCCATTCATCGTATTGCCGCAGTAGCGCAGTTGGCCACCCAGCGCCGACCAGAAGATCGGAATGAACGATTTCGCCTTCAGCGGCACGGAACTGTTGCTCGAGAACGCGTGGGCGATCGTGCGTCCGACGCTTCGCCCCGAGTTCTGTGCTACGTCCCAGTGCTCGATGCGCACGTGCGTGTGGCCGCCTTGGCCTGCCCCAGGTCCATCGTAGGGGTATGTGGCGATGTCGCCGACGGCGTAGACGTCGCTATCGCCGTTGGTGCCCTTTAGACACTCGACAGCGAAGTACTCGTCCGTTTTGAGGGACCCGTCGCGCTCGAGGGTTACGCTGGGGTTATCGCGGAGGAATTCTGTGGCCGGGCTGACGCCGACGCCTAGGATGACGAGATCGGCGGGCAGAGCGGTGCCGTCTTTAAGGTAAACGGCGGCTACCTTTGAAGGATCCGCGTCAGACGAGGTGGCTTTGTCGACGGAGGCGGACATGTAGAACTTCACGCCGTTCTTTTCCAGATTAGTTTGGAAGACGCGTCCTACTTTTGCGCCCATGATGCGCTCGAGCGGTACGGATTCCATGCCGACGATTTTCACGTTGTTCTCCTTGGAGAGTGTGTTGCCTACTTCCATGCCAATGAAGGAGCTGCCGATTATCACGATTTCTTTCTGCTTCCTGGGCCCTACGGCAGCTAGAATGGCTTGCACATCTTCCACAGTGCGGAGGACGAATATGTTCCCCAGTTCTTTGAAGCCGGGGAGTGGCAAGCGGCGCGGGGTCCCGCCTGTAGCTAGGATTAGTTTTGTATACGGAACTGATTTGCCTGATTTGGTCGCTACGGTCTTGTTTGTGAAATCGACGGAGGTGACTTCGTCCGAGAGCACGGAGACGGAGACCGCGGCATACCATCCTTTCTCTCTGAGGAGGAGTTTCTCTGGGTCTGGGATTAGGGCTTTGGAGAGCTTCGTTCTGTCGAGGGGGAGGTTGGGCTCCTTGGAAATTATTGTGATTTGGCCGCTGAAGCCGTGCTCACGGAGCACTTCTACTGCTCCGATGGTTCCGCTTCCGCTGGATGGGTAGAGATATGCCATTAGCAGGAGTTGGGTGTAGAGAAGGGAAAATTCTCCAGACCTACCCTCCAATAATTACAACCTTCTGATCATGTTGAGAAACGCTACAAGAACTAATGGGCAGCCTGCCATTTTGTTTGAAGGTTGTCTCGTCAGCCTTGACGTAGACGCTTCCATCTTTCTCGAACACTTCATATTTATGTAGCGCATTGAGGGCTGGCGCATCTTCCACGTCTCCAGTTGTAATATTAAAACAAGCTAGCAAAAAACAAAATATGATACCAGTTAGCGACAATCAACTCTTTATATCTCCTCAATTACAATTAAATTTACATAAACGGAAGGAACCAAAAAAAGTATGTAGGGGAGAAAACTGCAAAAATATAATAGGTATTAACTAAACGGATATACATACCACCATGCCACGGGCAAGTCAGCCTCGCATCAGGAGTCAAAACGCCCTTTACCAGCGGCGCGCCATAATGCGTACAGTTAGCAGTAAGCGCATGGACCTGGCCGCCATGTTTCAAGAGCAAGAGTTTTCCCTTCTCGATGCCCTCGACTTCTACTTCGATCTTGTCAGCAGGAAGGTCGAGCGAAGTTAGGTCCTTGATTTTGAACGTAGATGTTGACGACATCTTTGGCGTTGGAGTAGACGACCACCGTCGTGAGGTTGAGAAGTGGTGTATACGCGTTTTTGTTAAATGGATGTTGTTGTTGTCGTTGCTGGTTGTCCTCTTGTTGCTGGTGTTGTTCTTATTGGAGTTGGTGATGATATGAGATGATGTATGGATGTGCTGGATGCGGGGGAGGTTGGCAGCTATCTCCGGGCGATGGGATGCAAGGATAGATGACGTGCCGAGCGCCGACTTACATGCGGGATACCTGGTCCAGACAGCTGCGGCGATAATTGGAGTAGATTTATATAGTAGAGGTGGTGTGGATTGGGCTGTACTGCGACAGATGATGGAGCTACCCGAGGAGGATGGAGGGAGTCGCATGCTATGGGGTGACACCTGCGGAGTCTGAGGGAGGCACAATGAGGCATGGAACGAATGGATTCAGTGAGTATACCCAGTTATGTATTACTGATATCAATTCCAGGCAGTGGAGAGTTCCAAGGTATTGTGCAGTGAGATTGGTAATGATGCGACCCCATAGGCCAATGGGCGTGTTGTGATGTCATGGGCGGGAATTCTAACCAGAGTCGGGACAAGTGCTAAAACATACTTTTATAGGCACGGAAACATGAGCACAAACGGGGAAAAGGAGAAGTGAACGGTGCCATTGAGTACGCAGTAGGTCGTGCAAATTAAAATTATTTTCTCACAGCAGCTAATATACACATATTATATCAGTATCCCAATCCTTCTACGCTCCCTTAAAACTCCAAATTACCAGGCCAGCATTGGATAAATAATAGCTATACCACACTTCTCTTCCGCAAACCTCTCCTCTGCGTCTGAACAGAAGGCGCTTCTGTCCTGCGTGGCCGCCGGCCTCTAACAATCCGTTTCTTAACCCACCCAGGACCCTGCGGAAGTCCGTGAGACGCGGCAAAATCTCCGTCGGAATTCCCAGGCGACTCGGGCTCGCTAGATATTGTTAAATCCACAATAGAACTACTGCTCTTCTGCGACACGTCTTGATTGGTAACATATTCAGAGTGCTGCGTTGACTCCTTGTCAGCCTCGGTTATGGCTGGGAGATCCAACCTGTCGTCATAGCGCTGGGGTTTCCGGCGGGGTGAAGATGATACCTGGCGCGGAGATGAAAGGATTTTTCGCCTGCTTCTTCTAGTTACAGACGTGGACGGCGAATTTTCCGCAGCTGTTGTTGTGCGGGGTGGGGCTGTAGAAACGAATCGTGCCATGGGCGGTGATACACTTGGAAGGTTCCTATCAGGTTCGTAGAAAGGATTGGGGATTACGGATCCACTTGAACCAGGGCGGTGTGCAGCTGGCTGGCTATCTTCGACAGCGGAAGGGAGTAATGAAAGCTGGGACTCGTCTTGATCTATAGTCGTCTGATCGAGCTGAAACAATGGCGGTGAAGAGTTGTAAATGGCATCGGAGCCAAGGGGCATCGGCTGAACATGTTGTGCACAATCATCCATTGGAGCGTCATCGACTGACTTTATTCCAGCGTCCAATCCGGTGTCGATACACGTCTCCTCAATAGACGGTTCATGCTGTGAGGTGGTTGTTAGGTCCTTGTTAGAAGCCATAGAATCCTTGGCCAATGCATCATCGGGTTCGAGATACTGAAGCTGATGGCCAGATAAATCTGACAATTTCTGATGATGGGAGCTAGGCTTGTGGGAAGAGGGATCCGATGTAGGATCTTGTAGCCAAGTAGGGGAGCTGGGCACCTCCGTGACGATCTGCTTTTCAGGCGTACCCCGCGGAGAGCGGTTTGCTGAAGGGGAGGGTTGGGGCTGGTGATCTTTGCGAAGATGCGTTGAGGGGTTAGGTGGTGGGCTCGAGACAAAGCCGGCAAAGGTAGGGGATTGAACGGTCGGACTAGCACAATCCGTGACCCCCTTGTTCTCGATGGTTGCGTCATTGTAAGTCCTCGAGTCCTGGACGTTGAACAATAGCTCTTCGGGAGGAAGAAAATCTGAATCAAACCCTGACCTAAACCCGGCCTCTCGAATCATTGCCGAAATTTCGTGTCGTGTCGGCGACGAAACAGTGGCGACTTCGGGAATCGGGGGCGGAAGTTCAATAGGACTGGCTCAGGTATCGCGTAAGCTGACTGGCCCATCAACAGAAAAGGAGAATTTATACCAACAGGTGGTGCTGTGTCTCCTCAACCACCTCTACTGAACCATCAGTAGATCCGATGGAGAGCAATTTCGGTTCTATGAGCTCTCCAAATTGCATTTCCCTAAATCCATCATCTTCTCCTTTCCATTCATCGTAACCAGGCATCTCAAACATGGTATATCGCGTCACCCCATCATCGTCATCGCCATGGTCCTCTCGAGGTTGCTGTCTATCGCGCCGCGCAAGCCGCAGTGTTAAAATCCCATCCGTAACATCTTCGATAACGGCAGTACGATATTTAGACACCAGCGGTTGCCAGTTTGTAGCTTTAGACATGTCCAGCTGCTTAAAGGCGACGATCGTTCCAGGCTTCATATCAGCGTCCCGTGCATCTTTCAGAATAGACATATCGTCCGGTAAGCCTGGAAGATCATCTGTAGACGCACTCTTATCTGCTGAAGTCGCCTCTGCGCTAGTCACATTACGGCCGACCCCATTAAGAGACTGAGCTGAGTTGTAATGTTCGTCAGCCCAATCATTCCCATAATCTAGCTGATTTCCATTTGAAAAACTCGCGTCTCCATTGCACCACTCTTGGTCAGAATAATCGGCTTCTTGGCGATTTCGAGATTTCCGCTTTCGCTTCTTGCCACTAGCTTGTTGGTTTCCTTTAATTTCGCGGATTTTCGCCTGCGCATCCTTATCCCATCGTTGTACGAAAGGGAAGGGCGGCGTGGACAACTCTACATCATCGTAAAGACATTCCGTAGCTTGAAGGATGAGTCGATCTTCCCAGTTTTCAATCGAATCGATCTTCGCTTCCGTAGATTTATCAATTTCTTCAACTGAGGATAATTTTGACTGTGGTTTCGGCTGATGTACATGATTGCTCAGCGTCTCTCGCAGTGCCTTCTCACCCTCCTTTGTTTTTGGGGTTTTCAAACCTAGAGAGCCAAATACAAGGCGCTGCGAGCTAGGAACATCTAGTTTTGACTGTCTCTTAGATGATTCTGTAGCTGTCCCGAAAGCACCGTTGGCGCCATTTATCGGTGTGGTTGACATCGATTCAAGAGGACTCAATTTATTAGCGTTCTTGGTAGGCTGCGGGGTCACATCAACACCCCCTTTCGCTATATCCCGTAGTAGCTGTGCACGCTTCCTTTCAAACTCCGCCTGTTCATCGTTGCCTTTCACCTGACTTTCTGAGATCTCTTCACCTGACATCCCCGGAAACGGGCCAGGGTTAGCCTCGCACCATTTGCGCAGATCGGCGAAATTAGCATCTTTGTGAAGGATTCCGAGCTCCTTCAGTTTCTCAAGTCTTCTTCGTAACTTGTTTCTCCTGTTGGTATTCTTCGTTCGTCGAGAACCGGTACCAGGAGGATGGACAATTGGCTGTGGGGTAGCGACGGAGGTCTGCGGGCCATTTTCCGTCAAAGATGTTGTCGCTTGTTGTTTGGCACTGGTAGTAGAAATATTGATATCTTTTGATTCTGAAACTGATGAACTACCACTGGAGCTTGAAGATGCTTCCGAAGATGCTTCACTCGAGCTGGAACCACTGGAAGAGACGGAGCTTGTTTCATCCTCGTCGCTCGCCGATTTTGCATCGGAGGATGTTGACCCCTCGGAATCAGATTGTCGCTGATCCTCAAAGCTTACGCCAAGACTGCGCTTTAGTGAAGACGGACAGGATGTCCGCGCCTTCTGAAGCAAGATCCCGTGAATTTTGCGCTCTCCAACGCATATATCAGCTTGTGCTTTTTGCTTCTGTTGCCTCGTAGCTCGCGTTTTCGAGTCGGGGGTGGGGGCTGATGAACCGGCCCCTTTTGCTATAGGTAGTTCCTTGCTCCGTTTCTCGTGGAACATTATGGCTTCCTCAGACGGGGTAACAGCAGATTCATCGCTCTCGGTTTGATATTCATAATCGTCGTCCTCTTCATCGTCCTCGTCGTCGTCTTCATCCCCTGCCCTAAGAACAAGCTCTTTCCCAGCTCCATCGGTTTCTTCTTTCCAGTCTGGGTCGTTCTCTTCATCATCTTCGTCTTCAAGATTAAAATCTCTTGCAAGAGCGTCATCAACCCGCCATCCGCCAAAGTTCAATCGCCTCTTCTTCCGAGGTGGAATTGTAATAGGTGGCCTTGACGACACTGCTTTTTGAATATAAGGTTTCCCGAACGGAACACCGTCGATCAAATGCCTCCCATCAATAGTGATCTGATGGCGGCCCGTAAGTCTCCTGGCCATGAGATCACCAAGTTGTAATGCGCGTATTCTAGAGCCCACAGGGAGAACACAAGGTCAAAGTTAGCAAATTTGCAAGCAAAATAAAGTCATCAGACAAAATACCATAAAAAAAATATAGAATAAGGGGCCCGAAACAGGATAAACATACACAACTTCATCCCCATCCCTCAACAGCCCATCCACCTCCATAAAATGTAAACACTCAAACCCCATAACTTCCACCGCATAATCCTCCAGTCCCCATTGCCCAGCACCACCACCAATGCCACCACCACTCCCACTATCTTCCTCAACTTGCGTCTCAAGTGGAATAACCTCATTCACATCTTCCAGCAACTGTGCGATTGTCAACCCCCCGCTCCCCGAAGCCGCTGCTGATGCGCCAGATCCAAACCCAGCATTTGGAGCCCGCGTCGACGTAATTGTACAAGATGATACCGTGGCGAAGGATGAGACAGCAGAATTGGCTCTGGTGGACGCAGAGCTGGGCGAGGAAGTTGTCCAGAGGACACGGGTTGTAGGAAGGCCATGCCGCTGTATGACGAGGTGGAGACGCATGGCGCTTAGTGGCTGTTCGGTTTAGAAGGAAGGAAGATAGGAGGGGAGAGAAAAGATATGGAATTGATTTGAGTTCCTGCTGCCAGTTTCGTCGTTAGTTTCACCGAATCCTGTGGTGTCTGGTAATTTTAGCGGGTCCTATTCGCCTAGATCCCGCCTGTGGATGCCATTGTTAGAGCACTTAGGAAAGCATAGACAGTATGGGAGCTTTGATGCTCCTTATCGAGTGAGCTGGTAAATTCTAGCTCCAACCCGGAGCTTCAAAATATAGCATAGAGAAGAACAGTAGAGGTTATATTAAACAATATGCTGATTAGTGCCAGTCACACTATTACTATTTGCCGCTGCCTCTCGTAGACGGTAAAAGTTCAGCTGATAATGTTGTGTCTTTGGTGTTTGCGAAAGTTCCAAATATTCAACCCCTGGCGATGTCAAACTTGCCTATATTTGGTCTAGCGCCTAGCGCCAGCTCTCGCTTAACTCTGAATTCTTTTGCGACTTCAATGTATTTTGACTGAGAGTTTGAACCAGGTTTTATTTTTTATTTATTTGATCCCTATTGAAACCCATCCCGCAAAGAATTTTTAATTACCCCGGTCAATGTTGTTTTTCTCTAAACAAAAATATGTCCCATGCACTCATTGATGCACAAAAGCGACGAAAAAAGAAAAAACAAAAAGGGAAAAAGATAAAGGAAAAAGAAGGATTCCTGACATGAAAATGTACGCTTTCGTTATCCGAGCCCATGAACCCTCGCTTTCGTGATACATCGTTATCCCAAAAGTTTATATGTAGAAAAGAGAAAAAGAAAATAAAAGACAGTTGGAAAGAATGGGAATAAGCTATTTGTTGAGAGAAATAGCAGTTGATCGCATACTAATACTACGATCTTATCACCTCTCGCATACTCAGATGACAGGAGAAGGACTCATATATTTCCCAGTGGAGTTTCAACCTTTAAGGATCACGCTTGTTTTCCCGCCCCCGGAACGGGTTTCCTAGGGGGAACTCCCATGAAGGGCAATGGCCTTCGTTGCTGTGAGTCCTGTAGTGTTTGTTGTGCCTGTGGTGCCTGTTGTGGTGGGTATAGGGTCTCCTCGATAAGTTGAGTTTGTTGAACCTGTCCAATTGATGTCGATTGCAGCGGCTGGACGGCGAAATGGGAGTTGGCATATTGCCCATCCAGAGGCGTTACATTTGCATAATGGTTATCAAAGAAAGACTCCGTTGATGCATTGCGCGGGCTGCTACTAGGGAAAAGCCGCTCGTTGTCTTTATTATCCTTTGCTGAACCCTTATTATCAGCCCCTGACCATGATCCTGGGTCTGGAGGGTTATACTCGCGCCGCGGGCCATCCACTGGCCCAAGAGCATCTGCCATGGCATCCTCATAGCTTGGAGGAGCATCATCGTATTCGGTGTGCACGGGAGCGATTGTCGGGACAACCTCAGGCCGAGGAGGTTGCGGAGGCGGAACCTCGGATACCTTGCTGACCTTACTAGGAGACCGCCGGACAGCGTCTAAGAGGGCCTGAGGAGGAGCGATTCCAGAGTATACTTGAACGGGTATCCGGAGGGGAACAACGATAAGCTCAGGCTAGACCGCGAAATATGCATCTGTTACTTGGGTGCTCCATTATGAAATTACAGACAGATCAAAGATCCAGCCCTACGTATGAAATGCATCGAGGGACATGGGAGTGTGTATCTGGAAGCCGTGAGTAACGTACCTTCATCATAGCAGAAGAACCATGTCTTAATCCAACTTGTACATCCAAGTTGTACGTCCGCGATATATTGCAGGTATCGAATGACGGCGCCACAGAACTGGGCAATGGGGTACGATCCCACATGCTGGAATCTATCTTCCACTCCTTCCCAGCGGGAGCGGTTCCATCCCCAAGCGGGATGTTCATATTGCTTTGGCTTACAATGACCCAGCTCCCACTCTCAGTTCTGGCAAGATCGTGGGCCCGGATGTGTGTATATGCGATTAATTCGACCTGTATCATCTGCAAGAAAATCGTGTCGGAGCTGTCGTTAAGCTTTCTTACCAGAATTCGTAATGGAATGGGCTCGTTACAGGTGATGATTGCAGGACTAGGTAATCTGGCATCTACGGAAAATTTGGGAGGTTCTTCCTCGATATCGATCAAGGGTGGAGGATTGGTTGTTCGGAAAAGACTCTTCTTCCCAGGTATACTGCTGACTTTTGAAAATTGTTGCTGGCGTCTGGCATACGATTCCGCGCCGGGTACTACTCTCTCCGGAGGCTCGATGGGCAGGAATTTGAAATCCGCAAACTAGATCGAGTCCCTATCAGCATTCAACTTCGAGGAAGCGAAAGGTATATCCAGGATCATACATACCCCTCTATAATTCTCCTTGTAAAACTGTGGCCGCGCAACCGTCGCCTTCACGTAATATCTAATCTCGGCCTCGCCCGGAAATCCCGTCAGCGACGGTGGAAGTGCCCTACGGACGTGTATATTCGTATCGCGGGCAACCTCTAGCCTTATCGCGCCCATGTTGAGATTTGTCCTCGCATGCTCACTGCAGTCATTATTGAAGGGAAACTATAGAGGGCCGAATAGCAGGAGCAATTAGTCGCGGTTTTTTCAAACTCGAAACCGTACGCTACAATATTGCCTGGAATCTTCTCATTTGACTCACTTTGAAACTAAAGGGATATTCGTGATGGCCGGACGGAAGGGTATAGTACGGGTTACTTCCGACGAGTTCAGACGTATCCTCAACCGGAAATAAAGTACGGGTTTTGTATAGGAGCTGCAGGTTTGAAACCGCGTGAGTAATTAGCGCGAAAGCTCCAACCTCAATAGACTCGATTCGTTATTATAAACAGACGCATACCTTGTGGGATTCCACCTCCGTCCTCTTCTTCTCACTGCGGTCACTATTGGGGTATTTCGGAGCGGCAAGCCTGGTGCTGCTCTCGCCCTCGAGCTTCACGACGACGCTTGATACGGGAGTATCGGTGGATAGGGCAAGGATGACTTTCCCTGTGATGAAATCGAGGTTCGTAAAATACGCATGCGGCCTATCCAGATGGATTCGAACAGACATGGTGAATAATTGGCTTAATTCGAGTGGGATTCCTGCGCAGAGCGTTTTCCCAACAGGAAATGAGCTAACCGCGGGGTGTAACTACACTACTCTGCGAGGCGAAAAGCAAGTATTACACAGACAATTAGAAGGGAGGTGAAAGCAAAGCTGGGAGAGAATCTAGAAGCGAGCACTGCGTCCTCTAGAAGACAAATTAGGTATTATATCTGTGTTTCTCAAAGAGTAGTTTAGAGAATGAAGACACAAGCAGTTTTGTTTGTTCCGGTGTGTTGCGGGCGGGCACTGGAAACTGACCGGCCGGAGATAAATCCAGGCAGATGTCGTTGTGCCAAGCCCCGCCATATCTTTCGGCTTTCTTGTGGCTTGTTCGGTTCATGCCACCGCAAAGATTTATACACTGAAGCATTAAAGTAGGTACCCTTCGAGATACATAGGGCTAACTAACGGATGAGCTAGGACAAACATCTGCTTTCAGCCTTGTGCAGCAGAGCCATTAGTTACTCCGTAATTATGATGAATATGCTTATCGGCACGAAAGTGTTCCGAAACAAGCCAAAACCACAGCAGTCATTCAGCTTTCTTTCCACGCCTCAAGCGATATGATATGCTTTTAAGATCCTGAGCCACGATACGCAGTTGGTTGGTAGCTTTGTTCCCTGTAACCGCTTGCCGCCTCAGCCTCATCCACACGTCACTTGCGAGTGCAAAGTTTGTAAAATGGTTCGAGAAATTCCGGATTTGCAGAAAGGGAAATAAAAAAGACAAGAGAACAGAGGGAAATGCTGCTATCTATCGTTCATTAACACAAACTTATGATACGCCTTTATCTATATCTATCAATACACTGCAATAGCATGGGAATACAGGCACATACATGTACCAGGGGTAGGGGCAGGCGAGGCGATTCTGGAAGCAGGGTAAAACTCAAGCATCAGTAAACTCAACCGGAGGACTTATAGGCCTTCTTTTGCAAGCATATCTACATTCACCGGATCCAAACGGAATCAGCTAGATCCAAAAGCTGTTTGCAGATATGTGGCTCTCTTACCAGCAATATCCAGATATAGGGCAAGTGCATTGAACCTGTGGCTCCCCCAGAAACACACATCAGTATTTGCCTGCGGGGTGATCATGCTTAGCATGAAACATCACATGTTCCCTGTTAATTCAGAGACAAGCCACTTCAGACGGTTGGTCCAGTTGATTAAGTCAAGATGGCTAACACCAACAAGGGTGCCTTTATAGCCCTCTTGACCTCCCCACTTGCTACTTTGGACGCTGACCAGTCCGTCATTCGGGCCTTCCTCCTGCTCGATTATCCGGTGGGACTGGCCAAACACAGACCACAAACTTGGGGTTAGCGAGGCCCCGTACGAAAAGTACCTGGGTGGTCCCTGATAGTGAGTGACGGGTCACCGTCCTTTATTTGCGAGCGAGCGCTAGTAGATTACACACCTGACATCGTGAACGTCTGGAGTGTTCGGATTGAACTCCTCCTGCATGTACTTGCGAGTGAGTTGATTGAATGCCCCTGATTCGATTTTCAGCCGCGCGAGAGCGTTGCATACTCGTTTCTCTGTGTTCCGTGTGCTTGAACAAGATATTACCCGTATTCGAAAAGGGATATGACGTACCTCCAATCTGCCCAAACACATAATCGGCAAATGAAGAACCTACTCTAGTTAGCAGTAGTACTCAAGCAACTTGCGACATGACCAACCTCGATGAGGGGTGGAGATCGTAGTCAGGGACAAAACGCGGAAGCTCGTAGGGCGAAGTCTACTAATCATATAACGGGAGTCCAGACCCCTGAACAGTTTCCCTGTGCGAAACATGTATGAATAACCCGAAAACACATACCCCTAAATAATAAGGTGAGCCCATATCCAGAAATAATGAAATTTTATGAAAACTTCAAGCAGGTTTAACATACCATACTATGTCTTTAAATAGAGGATAGTTAGCGAAGACAAATTATCCATCAAACCGTGCCTGCATACATATATAAAATGCAAAGTCTCCACTCACGCAATAATATTGACTTCGTCGACCTGAATCCAAGCCTCGATCCCTCTCATAAGCGCTTCGGCTCGTTGCTCAACGGACCCTGACGGCAGGACAGGAACCGTAATAACATCGATCCCCTGAAGGGTAAACGCCTCCTTGATTCCGCGCCAGTATTGGATTCCTGGAAGATACTTCCCCCCCAGTCTCAACTCATCAAATCCTAACAGCCCATGGGCAAGCACTATGGGGTATTTTGGCTTCACTGTAGAATACAACACCTCAAAGATGGTTCAAGATAGCAAATATATCAGCAAATTGCACTAGGCATCATATTTTCTTTCACCAGGGAGGTGGTTTCCATTTTTCTTTTCACTACTTTTTTTTCCCTCTCACTGGGCATTACTGACAGTATGTATCTCGAATTGTAGAGTATTTGTCTTTCATCAAAGGTTCCAATAGCTCAAGGCATAGATCCTGTGGATGAGGCTTTGATACATTGATTGTCAAGCTGAATCCTCACACTCGAAATACTGCGAGTACTTGAGCATTGTTGGGATGATGGCACGGTGAAACTGTTTTACAAACCCACCAAATGACTGGGTTACAGATCGCATGCGTCATTCTATGGCGCTGAGAAACAATTCATTTTTGTTGACAAGTCCTGAGCTGAGAGCAGAATGAAATTAGCTAAGTCTCTTGTAGAGAGGCATTCTCCATTTAAAAAAAACACTTCAATGATGATTCCAGTAAATTTAAGTGACAAAATGATAAATATTGAAGCCTGAAGCTAGTGAGCTAAATATTGCCGTTGAATAACAATTCATACAGAGACTACACTACTATTATTATTATTATTCTTCCATTATACTCATATGCAAGCGGAGCTTATGATGGCTCCTTGCGTGATGTTAAATACAGGCCAAGTGTTGGTTAACGTGATCAACCACTCAACGCCCGCTTAAACCCAATGCCCGCCATAGCCATCACAATGATGAAATATTTTCATCAATATCTCAACAATACAATTAGATTTTAAGGTGATATATTATATGATGAAAATATATATAGAAAATTACACATAAAAATATACAGCTAATTCTGTAGATATTTATTAAACTTAATAACTCACTCAGAATATGAAATCTTGAATAAAGACAGATTTAGTGAGTAAGTAGTTATTAAATCAGTAGAGATTGTAATATTATCAGATTTCTCTGACAGTGAATCTATAAGCATTCTGACAGGGCTCTGAAAATGTGATTTAGTCACTTTTTATAAAATTAAGAATCTACTTTTCTGATTAGAAAGATAATTTTTAAATTCTTCAATCTTTTTCTGTAAGAAATCCCGCTTCTTATGAATTCTTTACCTCTATTCCTATCTCTCATGTAATTAATAGAGCTAGCAGCCCTTGGCTACACACAATTATATAGACTGGAGTTTGTGAATACTATTTATAACTCAGCTTAAATACTATTATATATTTAATCTCTACATTTTATCTTTCTACTATGAATACTTCTAGTAGTTAACAGTATATATTATATCAAGCTGTAAACATCTGAATAATTATCTGTAAGTATTTATTCTTACATTTTAAGCTCAGTCAGTCAGTAATCATCTGTTATAACTAAAAGAACTAGAAACTTATATACTTTAATCTCTGTGAACTCTACTACAGACACTTAGAAGCAGTTATCTGAATTATAAATAACTTTTATAAAAGAAGTTTCAGAGAACTTATTAATCACTTATAGAATATTATTCTCTATATCTGTGATAAAGAAATTCTCTGAACTTATAAATAAATTAATTTTAATAAAGAATATTCTTAAGTATCTCTCACAGAACTAAGTTATTTTTCTATAAGAAATACTTACTATTTATAAACACTCTTAAACTGAGTCTCTAGACATAATCTTCAGAGATACTTATAAACTGAAAAGAAACTTTCTTAAGCTGTAATTACTTAAGATTACTTATTAAATTACAATCTATAAAAGCTTTTATAAGTTTATATTTAAAATTAACTTACAAGTCTGACTGTGTGATATAAAAGATGAAGAAGCTGTTATCTATATAATAATAGATCTCTATTACACTGAAGCTAAGAACTGATTAAACTATTTAGAGAATGATTATAAGAGATTTTACTAATTTATTCTTAAGATCTATCTAGAGAATAAGTTAAAAAACTCTGTAAATTAATCAGAGAATATCTGAGCTATAATTACTAATATTAGAAAAAGAGATAAGAAATCTGATAAAAACTACTCACAGTACTTTATAAAATTATAATATGAATTAAGATCTGTGAAAACAGAGCTCTGAAATAAGATCTGAATAATAATATTTATAAAAAAACTGAATAAAGATATATAGAACAAGCTCATTGAGTAAGACTCTAAGTTCTTAATTTTAAAGAAACTGATAACTCTTATTCATTACTTATAGATTACTGTGAGAGTTATAAATCTGTAAAGAATAGATTATTAACTAATTCTATAAGAATCAGAATAATAGAGAATAGATTTATTAGAAAAAGATAATAAGATATAGAGAGATTTATATCTGATTACTAAGTAGAGAGAGAGAGCTTTATAAGCTTCTATAAATAGAGTATATAATAGAAAGATTAAGAAAAAGAGACTCTGCTTTATCTGTTCTAAATTAGAACATCTTTATATAAACTGTTTAGATAAATTAAAATAGAAATTTAAAGAGTTATAGACAGAGTTAGTAACAGTCTTCTTAAGAGTCTTGAAACTGATATCTGAATCTGTTACTTCTCTGATGAAAATACTTACTTATAAAGAGAGACTGTATTATAGTACTACTATCTTATAAGTATAAAAAGTATTGATAAACTCAGAATCTCAGATCACTGTAGTATTTCTAAAGCTCACAGAGTAAATAAGCTGAAAGATGAAAACTAAGAATCTGCTCTTATAATAAGCAGAGTATGAGAACTCAGATCTGAGAACTGAGAGACTTATAAGAGTTATCTTTAAATTATAAGATCTCTCTGAAATCTGAAGAAGATTTACAGAAACTGTGATTATTACAGATATTATAGATAATATGTACTTAAAACTTATATAACTTCAAAAACATAATCTGTACATAGCTGATTATAAGTCAGATTTATACTTTCAATCAGTGTTAACAGACTTACTTATAAAGATAGAATCAGTTGATACTGTAAAGTTAATTAGAGAAGATAAGTCTATCTATATAATAACTTTATAAGTATCTGAGAATCTCACAGTTATGAAAACTGAGCTTTAAATATCAGAGAAATATTAAGATCTTATAAAGATATTTAACTCAGTAAAGATAGCTAAGCTTTCTTCTCACTATAAGAAGAATCTGATAATAGATTTAATAGAAGAGTAGAAACTCTTCTGAGAACTAATCTATAAGCTCTCTTATTATAAGATAGAGATCTTGCAGATCTATATAAAGAAGAATCTGAAGAATAACTTTATTCAATCTTCATAGATCTCTGCAGAAGTCTCTATAATATTTATAAAGAAGAAGAATAAAGATCTCAGATTATATATAGACTACTGTAATCTGAACTTTAAGATAATAAAGAGCTGTTATTCTCTGTCTCTGATTGAGAATGTAATTAATCATCTTATAAGAGCTGTTATATTCATACAACTGAATATGATTAATATATATATACAGCTGTGAATACAGTCTGAAAATGAATAAAAGACTATCTTTAGAACTGTACTGAGATTATTTAAATATCTAGTAATATCTTTTAATCTGATTAATATCTCTATAGTATTTCAGTCTTTTATTAATAAAATACTTTATATATATTTAAATATCTTTATAATAATATATCTGAATGATGTAATGATATACTTTATAAAGAAGAAAGAACACACTGAGTATATATAAAGTATGTTAAGATCTTAGATGAGATAGAACTGTATATTAAGCTTATAAAGTGTAACTTCAGTACTTATTAGATTAATTTTCTAGAATATATAATTACTACAGATGATATTCAGATAAAATCTTTATAAATTAAGACTATTCTATTATAATTAAAGTTAACTAGTATTTATAAGATTCAGATCTTTCTAAGCTTTGTGAATTTCTATAGATAGTTTATCTTTATATTTATAAGAATCTTCTTAGCTCTTACAGACATACTGAAGAGTGAAAATAAGAAGAAGTCATTCTATAAATAGAGAATGAAAAGATTATTAAGAAGAGAGAACTATAAGAACTTTCTTATCTCAGAAGCTCACAGAGTCTTTACAAGATTAAAATAGATATTCATAGATATAGTAATACTATTTCACTTTAATCTCTTACTTTTAATCAGATTAAAGACAGATATCTTCTTCTTTATAATTTCAGAAATAGTCTCATAACTACAGTTAAATAAGAACTGAGTTTCAGTGACTTTTTTCTTATAGAAGATGTAACTTACAGAGATTAACTATAATATTTATAATTAGAAGCTTCTTATAATAATGAAATTCTTTTATCACTGATATCACTACTTTAAGAGTCTTATAACAGTGATTACTATTAGAACTGATTATAATAGCTTATAACAGTTTACTTCAATCAAGAAACTCTTACAGTAGCAGATTCACTGAACTCAGAGACTGAGTGAGTTCTGATTTAAGATAGAATATATTAAGAAAACTAAGAACTCAGCAGACAGATTCTCTCACAGATCAGACTATATTAAGAAGATTAGAAGAACAGATATAGAGAAATTAGAGAAGACAGAAATGCTTTACAGAATGCTCAAACTGAGTGTTATAAAGAGATTGACTGAAGAGTCTCTCAATTTCTTATAAGAGAAGAAGAGAGAGAGAGAGAAGAAGCCTGTATAATTACTCTCTATAATACTGAGAGTTAACACTCTGAGAATCTCTGTGAGAATTCTTGAAGAGAGTATCTATAATCTGAAGAATTTGCAGACTTTGAGAAGTGCTGTGAAAGATCTGATATAAGAAGAAACAGAGTATAAGTCTTTATAAGATCTTCTATCTAGATTATCTGAACTATAACTGAAGAATGAATATACTTAGTATATTCAGAAACTGCTCATGACAGAGATTAACTCTGCAGAAATAAAGAATTGAAGAGACTTAAATAATCTCTTATAAAGAGAGAGCTGAATTTATATACTTATAAATAAGTTTCTATATATAGAACTTATTAAAAGATATCATAACTTTTCTCTAGCAGGTTATTTTACAGACACTAGAACTCATGAGTTATTTATAAGAAAATACTTCTAACTGAAGATGTGAGAACTTGTGAAGAAGATAGTGAATTCTTATACTATTTATCAGAGTTTATGAGTAGTACAGTTCAGATTATATAAAGAACTTACTTCTCTACTTATCTCACAGAAATCTTGAGAATAGCTAGAAATGAATACTCTTATAAGTCTCTCTGAAAGCAAGAACATATATAATACCTACTTTAACAGTGTGCTGATGATAGTGAATCACTTCATTAAAATAGCATACTTTATACTCACTTATAAGAACTTGAAGTCAAAGAATTTAACTCATATTTTCATCTGTGATATGATTCAGTTGCATGAATTGTCTATAAATATTATCTCAGACAGA